TGCTGATATTTTATTCATTTCTAATTTTTCATGTTAGAAACAAATGCTGCATTGACACTCCTTGGCCATTGCTGGATAATTTCCTTAAAATAGATTCTTAAAAGTATAATTACAAGATCAAAGATTCTTGTTACAATTTACCAAGTTGTTCTCCAGAAGGATTATATATTCTATTTTACAGGATCCCCAAAAGTGCATTAAAAGTCCAGGTCCCGGGATTGGATTTCTGCTATCAGTCTCCCAATTCAGATTAAAAAAATAAGGATAGGCAGAGAGATCCGAGATGGCTGCGCCCAGGTGAACACCTAGCCGCAGCTGCACACAACAATTTCAATAAAATACAACTAAAATATAAAACGGACATTGCCCAGAACTACAGGAAGGTTGACTGACTGGAAATTCTACAGCGAGAAGCAAGGAGAAAACCAGAAGGAGGCGCGGAGGAGCTGGAAAAGCCAAGGTACGGAGACACGAGGCGGGCGGAGAGGACGGACCTGAGAGGAGGGAGGCCGAGTGCCTGGCGGGCGTTCCCCAGCGGAAAGGAGATAAAACTCCGACTGTGCTGGGCCCCCGACTGCTCTGGACCCCAGTTCTAGGCCGGACCCCGGGGACTCAGGCTCAGCCACAGGGAGCCGGGCTGTAAGGCGAAACCCCGGGGAGAGGCGGAAGGAGGTCCCGGAGGCACGCACACTGAGCGCAGAGAAGGGACGGTCGGCTGTGCCGGGGGATTGCCCTGACGGGAAGGAGACTGGGGCTCCAGACTGCTGTGAACGCCACCTCCTACTCCACTTCGAACTGAACTGAACCCCAATACCGGGCTCATTGTGGGAAAGCATAGACTGTTTGGCAGCAGGCGAAAATCGAGGGCACCTCTCTCTCAGAGGCGCCGGCAGCAGCGAGCACTGAAGGACCCACATAGGGCGGGGCTGACAGAAGCCAAAGCTGCAGGCTCCACCCTGAAACCCCGCCCCATCTGTAACTGCGAAATGAGACAACAAAATAGATCAAAAACGAAAGAATTGGAGGACAAAAAGCGTCTGGATATAGAGTTCAAATCTACGCTTATAAGGTTTTTCAAGAATTTCCTAGAAAAGATGGATAAGGCCTATGAGGATATGAAAAGAGATCAACTAGAATTAATAAGGAGTCAACAAGAAATGATAAGGGATCAACAAGAAATAAAGAATACATTGTCTGAAATAAAAAATATTTTACAGAGTCCTAAAAACAGGAGGGATGATCGCAAGAATCAAGTCAAAGATTTGGAACATAAAGAGCCAGAAGACACTCCTCCACAGAAGCTAGAAGGCAAGAGAATCCAGAAAATTGAAGATAATGTAAGAAACCTCTGGGACAACTTCAAGCGAACCAACATCAGAATTATGGGGGTCCCAGAAGATGAGAGAGAGCAAGATATCGAAAACATACTGAAAGAAATAGTGACAGAAAACTTCCCCCAACTGGTGAAAGAATTAGACTTACAAGTCCAGGAAGCGTACAGAACTCCAAACAAAAGGAATCCAAAGAGGACCACACCAAGACACATCATTATTAAAATTCCAAGAGCAAAAGACAAAGAGAGAATATTAAAAGAAGCAAGAGCAAAGAAGGTAGTTACCTATAAAGGAGCACCTATACGATTGTCAGCTGACTTCTCAACAGAAACCATGCAGGCCAGACGGGAATGGCAAGAAATATTCAAGGTGATGAATAGCAAGAACCTACAGCCAAAGATAATCTACCCAGCAAAGCTATCACTCAGAATCGAAGGCCAGATAAAGAGCTTCACTAATAAACAAAAGCTAAAGGAGTTCATCAACACCAAACCAGAATTATATGAATTGCTGAAGGGGGTTCTTTCAGAAGAGAAAGTAAACAAAGATAAAAATTATGAACAACAAATATGTAACTATCAACAAGTGAATCTAAAAACCAAGGAAATTAAAAAAATCTGATGAACAATATTAACTGTTGAATATAATAGAATCAGAGGTATGGAAGGGGAGTGAACTGATGATTCTTGGGGAAAAGGGCAGAGGGGGGAGTGGGAAGAGACTGAACATAAACTGTGCACCTATGGATGAGGACAATGGGGAGAGGGGAAAGGGCAGAGGGTGGGGTGGGAACCTGGTGGAGGAGAGCAATGGTGGGGGGGGGGGGGAAGGAACATTTGTAATATGAACAATAAAAACTTATTTAAAAAAAAAAAAAAAAAAAAAAAAAAAAGTCTAGGTCCCCACCCTCTTGTTTAACACTGGCTATTATCACTTTTTAGAAATTTATTAGGTTGGAAATTTATATCTCATCTATGCTTTGGTTGGCATGATTTGTGTGTATTAGTGAGTCCAAACATGTTTTCACAGATATTGGGCATTTGTGTTATAGCACTTTGGACTGGTCTTCATTCTGATAGCAGGGGTAACAAACTCAAATGCCTTTTTGGGATTTGGCATGTTGAGGTCATCGTGTGAAACCACAGTGGGAATTGGGAATGGCAGGGCCCAAGATAAATTGGAGAGTGTATACCCTGCTTAAGATTCCAAATTGAAAAAAAAATAATATACATCACGCTGGTCAAACAAAACATCTATGGGGCAAATTTAGGACTAGGTTCCCAGTTTGCTAACATGCTGGTGCCTCCCCTCTTTAATCCATTCCCTCCTGACTATTGTCAGAATGGCATTCCTAATACCTTCCCATATAAGGTCAGCCATAATGTGACTCAACATCTTTTACTCAGAACTCCCCTATCACAACCTTCTATTTCTATCATAGAGAACTCTTTGAAGAGGGTGATGTTCTTGAGGACAAGCATTCTATCTTACAAGAGGCAATGCAGCACAGTGGAAAGAGAGAACTCTGGAATGAGATAGTCCTGTGTCAAATCCCACCTAACCTTTACCTACTAGCTGTGCGACCTCAGGAAAGCTACTTAACCTTTCTGAAGCTCCATTTCCTCATCTGTGAAATGTTACTAACAGCACCTACACCACAGAGTTGTTATGAGCATTCATAAGGAAATGTATGCAAAGCACAAAGAACACTACTAGGCACATAATAAAAGGTAATGGGGATTTTCAAAATCTTGCCATGATAGAAATGATCTGTGGGCTCCTATCAAATATACAAACTCCTGAGCCCGATCCCAGACCTGTTGAATCAGAATTTATAGAACTAGGGCCTAGGATTCTATGTTGTTATTAGTTCTAGTTGATTGGGACTCGACTGAAGTTGAAGAACCATTGGTTGACATATTCACTTCAATTACAGTGTTCAATCTCCTTCTCAGGTAGCTGACTCTGGACCTACCTGCCTAGTGGTGCCCTGTCCCCCAGGGTCTGGCAGAGTTACCCACCGTCTATGACCATGACTTGGTGGAAAAGTAATCCAAATGAATTATCCTCAGCTAGCATGTCAGTCTCCCTGCCCTTCCTTCCCTAGCCACATATCTTAGCTGCCACTGTCAATCACTCATTACAAAAGTTGTTTGGGGCTAAAGATAAATGCAAAGTATTATGAAAATATTATCAGTAATACTTACTAAGCATCTATAATGTGCCAGGCACACTAAGTGGTCTTTATGTATTAAATTAATTTAATCCACATAACAATGCCATGAGGCAGGTGGTATCATTACCTCCTGTTTATAAATGGGAAAACCAAGGCACAGAGAGGTTAAGAAAGTTACCTAAGGTCAAGTAGATGGTAAATGCCACAGCAGAGATTTGAATCCAGACAATCTGACTCCAGAGGGTAGGCCATTATCTACTATGCTGAACTGCTTCCCCAAATTAACTGCTTTATCCCTGATATTACTAATTTAAGATGCACATGATAATATAATATTGATATTTCTTTCATTTAATGTCTTCATTATTTTATTTGGGTGAATGTATTTATCAGAGGAACTTCAAAGCCCTTTGATCCCATAAGGTCTTATATTTTTTAGCCACAAATGATAACATGAGAGTTTGCAGCAAACTAACTATAACAGTTGGAGTGGTTTGCTGTATTTCCATGCAGAGGCCAGGTTTCCAGACAACAGCATGAGCAAAATCTATTTTAATTGTTTACCCTATTTTTCTATTTCCACAAATCAAGCTGTAAAAATTATCCAGGAGTCAGAGCCTTGCTTATTAGGCTAGTTGCATAACAAAGGATCTTCCCCCCACAGGCTTGTATAAAATATGTCCCCTACCCCAGAAAGAGAATGAGGCCAAGTGATATAAGACAGACAGAGTGTTCTGGAGACTTCTTAAATGCTATGTGTGGACTGAGATACATTTTTAATAAGCTCTTCATTAATATTTTAGACAAAATCTAATTTCAAATAACCAATTTTGAAATGTAATTCTGGCCCAGCTAGTGTAGCTCACTGGTTGAGCATTGACCCATGAACCAAGAGGTTGCTGGTTTGATTTCCAGTCAGGGCATATGCCTGGGTTTCAAACTTGGTCCCCAGTAGGAGGCATGCAGGAGGCAGCCAATCGATGATGTTTCTTTCTAATTGATGCTTCTATCTCTCTATCCCTTTCCCTTTCTCTCTTTCTAAAAAGCAATAAAATATATTTTTAAAAAGAAATGTAATTCTGACACATGCTACGACATGGATGAACCTTGAAAACACGCTAAGTGGAAGAAGCCAGACACAAAAGGGCACATAATGAAGGATTCTGCTTATATGAGGTATCTAGAATAGGCAAATTCAGAAACACAGAAAGTAGAATAGAGGTTACCAGGGGCTGGGAGGAATGGTGAGTTATGGTTTAATGAGCACAGTTTCTGTTTGGGATGATGAAAAAGTTCTGGAAATAGTGATGGATGGTTGCATAACTTATTAATGTACTTAATGCCATTGAACTGTACACTTAAAAATGGTGAAAATGGTAAATTTTATCTCAGAGTTCAAACAAATCCCACAGCCTCAAACAAAAAAACAAACAAAAAACAAAAAAACAAAAAAAAACACCTGTTTTGAATCTCATGGAGTCAGAGCTTACCAGGGTGTCATCATTTTGGTCTCCAAACATTTCTTTAAAAATCTTGCCAGGATCAGGAATTGGAGGGAATATAATGATCTTGAGCCTTTAAAAAAAACAAAAAACAGACTTTTTTTTTTTTTTTTTTTTTTTTTTTTTACCAAATCTTCACCCTATGAGAACATCATACTTAAATACAGCATATTAAAAGAAGGCTTGGACAGCCTGGCCGGTGTGGCTCAATGGTTAAGCATCAAACCATGAATCAGGAGGTCATGGTTCCATCCCCATCAGGGTATATGCCCGGGTTGCACACTCAGTCCCTAGTAGGGGGCATGCAGGAGCCAGCCGATCCATGATTCTCTCTCATCATTGATGTTTCTATCCCTCTCTCCTTTCCCCTTCCTCTCTCAGAAATATATATTTATATATTTTTTTTATTATTTTTTTTTAAGAAGAAGGCTTGGACTGAAGGCATGGTATGCAAATGATCTGTAGTGATAGAGCAGTTGTGAAGAAATTTCTAAAACAAGCTGAGAAATCAATGTGCAAATAGGATCAAGTATGTGTGGAGTTAGGGGACTTTCAGGATAGGCAGACTTACTCATACCCTACCATTTTAAAAATTTTAAGCTTTATTGCGATATACTTGACAAATAATTGTATATATTTAAGGTGTATGTACAATGCAATGCTTTAATATATGTATACATTGTGAAATGAGCACTACAATCAATCTAATTAACATTCATCACCTCACATGGTTATGATTGTGCATGTGATACCCTATAATTTAATAATAATGCTTTAGTCATCATAGATTAGATGGGAGCTTGCTATTACTAATTTTGGAAAACATAATATCATATTCCTAAAACAGGGTAAAGGCCTCTTTTTCTGTCTCTTTCTTACTTCTCTGCTCTATTTTTACATAGAGATGGTGGATTACCTCATCTCTGAGGTCTCTACACATTGGTGTGTCACAGCGTTCAGCCTTTTGTCCTCTTTATCTCCTTCACCTTATGAGCACTTTCTTTACATCTTAGTGCTTTAAATTCATTCACATGCCAAGGACTCCCCAAATTCTATCTCCAGCCCAGACCTCTCTTAAACTCCAGATTCATGTATACAACTACTTATTTAACACCTCTACTTGGACATCTAGTAGGCATCTCAAACTTATGTTCAAAACTGAAGTTCTCACCTTTACATTAAAGCTAGCTCTCCTCATAAATTTCTCTATCACGTACAGAGTAAATGGCTCCAGCATTCACTTAGTTGGCTAAAGCCAAAAATCTTAAGAGTTATGTTTGAATTTTCAATTTCTCCCACATCTCCACAGAGAAGCATCATCAGCTAGTGCTATCAATTCTATCTTCAAAATATATCTCACATCAGACCAGTTCTTACTATTTCCACTGCCAACACATAGCCGAGGCCACCCTCACCTTTCCCCTCAAATCCTGCCATATCTTCTAATCTGCTGCTTCCATGCTTGCCCATTCTTCACTCAGCAACTATAGTGATCTTTTGTGACAGTAAATCAGATCACATCCCTCCCCTGCTTAAAACTCTCTAATGTTTCCCCCTTATGCTTAAGATAAAATTTAATTTCTTGCCATGGCCTGCATGATCTAGCCCTGCTATCTCTCCAGTCTCATCTCCTGTCTCTCTCTCCCTTGCTCACTCTACTCCAATAAGACACACAAAGCTCATCCCAGCCTTGGAGCCTTTGCACTTATTATTCCCTTGGCCTGGAATACTCTTTCTCTGAATATCCAGCCTTTCTCCACATCACCCCCATAACTTTACTACTCACTATGTGAAATCATAGTATTTATGATTTGTTATCTATCTCTCTATCTCTCTATCTATCTATCTATTCTCTCTCTCTCTCTCTCTCTCTCTCTCTCTCTCTCTCAAAATATATATAATTTGTTTTATAAATAGGCACTCAATAAATGTACAGTGGATGAATATTGACATGATGATAAAATATTGGTTTAGATTCAGCTTAATAACCTTATTTCAACCATAGGTATTTACTAAAAGAGCAAATAATGACACCAGACTAGTCCCTATAGTTAGATAGAGAAGGGAAAACATTCTCAAGGAATGAATACCATATATTACATTCAACTTGGTGAAGCTCCTTCCTACAGCATTAAGTAGCAGCATGCTTTCCATTCATACCAGACAAGTCATTTAATGAACAATAGTTTCCATTTTTAAAACTTCACTCCAACAGTTACCAACTAACTGTCAATAAATTAGACATTTGAAAGAGTAGAATGAACAAAAGTCCTAGCAACAATTCTAAACACATGCAAAGAAAGCAGTGCCTGAGAAGAGCCCTGGGAAACTCAACTAACACTTCCCTCACCATAAAATGTACATAATAATACCTCTTTGCCAAAAGTCAGTTATAATCCAAATGCTTTTAATACACTGGGCAAACATCAAACACCCACACAGAGTAATAACCATAGCAACCAGGCTAGCAGAAATTGTCAAGCCTGCCTGGGCAGTTGCCTTACCTTTTTAGATAAAGCAGAAGGACTATGATTGCACCTGCAACAATGATTGGAATTATGAGTAACATGATGATATAGAGTGTTGGATTGGTCTTCTTACCTGGAAAATGGAAAGCAAACAGAAAGATATGAGAAATAAAATTATTTTAGAAATAAATCAAGCAACAGCTCTGTTAGAGCAGTGAGGTCACATATATTTCTGCCCTCTGCCCCAAACTATTTTCCAAAACCCTTCAATTAAATTATCCTCTGTTATCTTAATAGTGGGGGGAAGTCTTGCTCTAGTGCCTAAATTCCATGAATGAATGAATAAACACCTTAATATTATCTAAAACTGACTCTCAATGTTGCAAAGATGGCAACCAGCAGGAAGGTAGAGTGTGAGAGAATGACGGAGTGATAGAGAAGTATGTGGATGTGTGCGGTGTGCGTGTGTGTGTGCGTGCGTGCGTGTGTGTGTGTGTGTGCGTGTGTGTGTGTGTGTGTGTGTGTATGAGCTAGGGACACTTAGATTCTGCAGGTCTTCCACGGTGCTGACAAACCGGGCAGTCTTAGATGGTGGAGCCCTGTATACAAAGGATTGTTAGAAAATAATATGAACAACTGTACTCCAACAAACTAGACAACCTGGATGAAATGGATATATTTCTAGAAAAATATAACCTTCCAAAACTCATTCAGGAAGATTCTAAAAATCTCAATAGCTTGATAACTATGGAAGAAATTGAAGCAGTCATCAAAAAGACACCAGTAAACAAAAGTCCGGGGCCAGATGGCTTCCCAGGGGAATTTTACCAAACATTCAAGGAAGAACTAAAAATCTATCCTCAGACTATTCCAAAAAATTCAAGAGGAAGGAACATTTCCAAGGTCATTCTATGAATCCAGCATTAACCTAATACCAAAACCAGATAAAGACAACACAATGAAAGAGAATTATAGGCCAATATCCCTGATGAACATAGATGCCAAAATCCTCAACAAAATTGTAGCAAATCAGATTCCAGCAATACATCAGAAAGATCATACATCATGACCAAGCAGGATTTATCTCGGGGATGCAAGGATGGTACAATATCTGCAAATCAATAGATGTTATACATCACATAAACAAATTGAGAGATAAAAATCACATAGTCATATCTAAGGATGCAGAAAAAGCATTTGATAAAATCCAACATCCTTGATAAAAACTCTCAGCAAGGTAGGAATAGCAGGATCATACCTCAGCATAATAAAAGCCATATATGACAAATCCACAGCCAACATCATACTCAATGGGCAAAAACTAAAACCATTTTCCCTAAGAACAGGAACAAGACAGGGATGCCCACTCTCACCACTCCTGTTTGACATAGTACTGGAAGTACTAACCATAGTGATCAGACAAGAAGAATAAATAAATAAAAGGCATCCAAATTGGAAAAGAAGTAAAACTCCTTATTCCCAGATGACATGATACTGTACATAGAAAACCCTAAGGACTCCATCAAAAAGTTATCAGACTTAATAAGTGAATTTTGGCAATGTAGCAGAATATAGACTTAACGCCAAGAAATCTATGGCATTTCTTTATACCAATAGTGAACTTATAGAAAGAGAAACTAAAAAAGCAGTCCCATGTACCATTGTACCAAAAAAATTAAGATACATAGGAATTAACTAAAGAGGTTAAAGACCTATATGCAAAAAACTACAGGACACTGAATAAAGAGATAGAGGAAGACAAGAAGATGGAAGAACATACCATGTTCATGGACTGGTACAATCAACATCATTAAAATGTCCATACTACCCAAAGCAATCTACAGATTCCATGCAATCCCCATTAAAATACCAACAGCATATTTCACAGACCTAGAACAAACGTTCCAATAATTCATTTGGAATTTTATAAAAGACCCCAAATAGCAGCAGCAATCCTAAGAAAGAAGAACAATGTAGGTGGGATCTCAATACCAGAATTCAAGCTGTATTACAAAGCCACTGTTATTAATATTAAAACAGCCTGGTACTGGCATAAGAACAGACATATAGATCAATGGAATAGAATAGAGAACTCAGAAATCAACCCAAACCACTATGCCCAATTAATATTCGACGAAGGAGGCAAGAGCATACAATGGAGTCAAGACGGTCTCTTCAATAAATGGTGTTGGGAAAATTGGACAGATAGATGCAAAAAGATGAAATTAGACAACCAACTTACACCATACACAAAAATAAACTCAAAATGGGTAAAGGACTTAAACATAAGATGAGAAACCATAAAAATATTAGAGGAATCCACAGGCAGCGAAATCTCAGACATATGCCGAAGCAATTTCTTCACTGATACTGCTCCTAGAGCAATGGAAACTAAAGAGAAAATAAACAAATGGGACTTCATCAAAATAAAAAGCTTTTGCACAGCAAAAGAAACCATCAACAAAACAACAAGAAAGCCCACTGTATGGGAGAACATATTTGCCAATGTTATCACCGATAAGGGTTTAATTTCCAAAATTTACAGGGAACTCATACAGCTTAATAAAAGGAAGATAAACAACCCAATTAAAAAACAGGCAATGGCCGGGAACGGTTTGGCTCAGTGGATAGAGCGTCGGCTTGTGGACTGAAAGGTCCCGGGTTCGATTCCGGTCAAGGGCATGTACCTTGGTTGAGGGCGCATCCCCAGTAGGGGGTGTGCAAGAGGCAGCTGATCGATGATTCTCTCTCATCGATGTTTCTAACTCTCTATCCCTCTCTCTTCCTCTCTGTGAAAAATCAATAAAATATATTAAAAAAAACAAAAAAATAAAAAAACAGGCAATGGACCTAAATAGATACTTTTCAAAAGAAGACAAAAGGAAGGCCAAGAGACCTATGAAAACCTGCTCAAAGTCACTAATTATATGAGAGATGCAAATCAAAATGACAATGCAGTACCATCTCACACCTGTCATAATGGCTATCATCAACAAATCAACAAGTGACAAGTGTTGGCGAGGATGTGGAGAAACAGGAACTCTTTTGCCCTGCTGGTGGGAATGCAGACTGGTGCAGCCACTGTGGAGAACAGTATGGAGTTTCCTCAAAAAACAAAATGGAACTCCCATTTGACTCAGTGATCCCACTTCTAGGAATATATTCCAAGAAGCTATTGTAGAAACACCAATCAGATAGGATATATGCACCCCTTTGTTCATAATAGCACAATTCATCAAAGCTAAGATTTGGAAACAGCCTAAGTACCTGTCAGCAGATGAGTGGATTAAAAAACTGTGGTATATCTATGCAATGGAATACTATGCTGCAGTAAAAAAGGAGGAATTCTTACCATTTGCAACAGCATGGATGGACTTGGAGAGCATTATGCCAAGTGAAACATGCCAGTCAGAGAAAGATAAATACCACATGATTTCACTCATTTATGCAATATAATGAACAACATAAACTGATGAACAAAAACAGATCCAGTGACAGAGAAACAGCAATCAGACTGTCAAACCTCAGAGGGAAGGTAGGGGAAGGTGGGAGTAAGGGGGAGAGATCAACCCAAGGACTTGTATGCATGCATATAAGCCCAACCAATGGACACAGACAACAGGGAGGTGAGGGCATGATTGGGGGGGGGTTATGGGGGGATGAGGACATATGTAATACCTTAATCAATAAAGAATTTAAAGATTAAAATAAAATAAAAACAAATTATATAAAACCAAGATATCTCATCAGGTTTCAGACACTATTAACAAAGGTGTTATATCTTTTAAATACATCATCTCATTAACAGTGACTATATTTTCGTTTTGGTTACTTAATACTATTAGAACACCTAAAATAATCCTAACAACAACTAGCACTACTACTGTTCTGAATTGAGCACCTACTATATGTGTGATACCATACTACGTGCTTCTATATGTGTATATCTATGCTACAGAGGTAGATAATACTGTCTCCCATTTACACAGATGAGAAGAGCAAGGCTCAGAGCAGTTTACTAGATTATCTCTAAGGTTTTAGTAAGTGATGGAGTCAAGCCTCAAATCCAGCACTGTCCAAATCCAAAGTCTTTAATTGTTACACCTAACTCGTGAACTATATGTCTATTTATTCAATTATCTTTTCCACTAGGACATGAACATTTAGAAAGCATCAAGGCATAGATAGTGTCATTGTTTTAGGCAGCCTCTAAGATGACCCCAAATGATCCCTGCCTCCTGGTATTCATACCCTTATTTAACCCCTCCCCTTGAGGATGGGCTGAACTAATTGACACATTTGTGAAAAACTGAACAGCAACAGTGATGGAATATTATTTCCAAGATCAGGTTATAAAAGACTGTGGTTTCCATACTGGGTATTCTCTTATATAGTCTTTCTTTCTTGGATCACTCAATTGGGGAAGCCAGCTGATACTATGTAGTGAGGTAGCCCTATGGGGAGATCCATATAGCAAGGAACTGAGGGAGGCCTCTGTATTGATATTCTAGAATTACTTTAACAAATCACTACACACTGGTTGGCTTAAAACAACAGGAATATATTCTCTAACAGTTCGGGAAGCTAAAAATCCAAAATGAAGGTATCAACAAGGACATGCTCCCTCTGAAAGCTCTAGAGAATAATCCCTCTTTGCCTGTTCCTAGATTTTGGTGGGTCCCAGAATCCTTGGCATTTCTTGGTTTGCAGCTGCAGCACTCCAATTTCTATCTCCATGTTCACATGGTCTTTGCTATGTGTGTCTCTCTGTGTTTCTGTGTATCCTCTCTTCTACTTATAATACTAGTCATTGGTTTTAGCACTTAATCTACTCCAGTATGACCTCATTTCAACTTGAATACATCTGCAAATCTCTATTTCCAAATAAGGTCACAATTATAGGTAACAGGAGTTGGAATTGAAACACATCTTTTGGGGGGATATAATTCAATCTGTTATAACCCCCCTCCTCTCCAGCAGCCAGAGAGGAATTGAGGCTCTCCAATGACAACGTTAGTAGTGAGCTTGGAAGTGGACTCTTAAGCTCCAGTCAAGCTTTCAGATGAGGCTCTAGTCCACATTGGTAGCTTGACTGTAACCTGATGAGAGAACTTGAGCCAGAGTTGCCTGGCTAACCTGTGCACAGATTCCTGACACACAGAAAAAAAACTGAATTAGTAAATATGTGTTTTTTTAAGCCACTATATTTTGGCATAATTTGTTATGCAACGATAGATAACTAATACAACCATGTTTGACACATAGATTGTTCAATTACTCAAATAATAGGGAATTGACTACCTTAACAACTTGTCTCTCTGACTATTAGATAGCTGTTAGAAAGTCCTAAAGTTGGTCCTCTTTTTCCCATAAGGAGCCTCAAAAAACATACGTAGTCTATTCCCTCTTCTACCTGAAAATACCTAAAATGTTAGAATTCATCAATCATGACTTCCCCCGCTTACTTCATCAAGTCTTTCTCCCTAAATTTTGAGATTCTTCAACATCCTGATTACCCTCTTTCAAGAATAGGCATCCGCAAGAATGTGGTGCCCAGCATGAATACAGCACACTTCTGATGTGTACAGGACTCTGTGCCCCACCCTCCCACGTTCCTTTGTTTTAGGTGCTTCACTGTCGCTACTGCCTATAACTGCATGTTCCTTTAGGGATACTTAAGGACCCAATGTTGAGTCACTTTGAGTTTACAGTCAAACAAAACCCTATATGCACCCTACAACACACACATTCATAAAGCACAGGTATTTCAATCCTATACTTGAGTCTGGCAAATAGCTTGTTCAGCCTCTCAATAAATGAAACTGATTTTTTCAAAACTAAATACAGGTTTATCTCTATTAAATGCCATCAAGGGCCACTGTTCTATTCTTGATTCTATCACCAACACATAAGTTAAGTCCTCTAGCATTGTACAATCTGCAGATCTAATCATGCCTACCTTCTAAAGATGGAGACAGGACAGAAGAGAAAAAAATACCATTTGCATTATGGATTTTCAAAGTGCCTTATTAGTATATTGCAAATTGGGTGATTTGACAGTAATTAAACAGAAAATACATTTCAATTGTAATACTCACTGGCTGACATTAAGAATATAGAACACCCCTTTTCCCATCCTATTTTCTGCTTCAGCTTAGTTTCCATGCATCAGTGGTTTAAATTTAAATAAAATCCTGTTCCCTTACCTATAGTCATCGCTGGACTCCAATTACTCCACAGTTTGTCATCCGCATAGCAAATCTTATTTGTTTTTACTCTCATTCTGACTGTGTTCAAAGTATCATGAAGAACACCAGGAATCCGGAAACAAATTGTACCATCCTTAAAATTAACAACAACAACAACAACAACAACAACAACACAAGTATATTAATAGTTTATTCTCTTTCTCTGCTTCTGAATCTTAAATATAATTATCGAACAAATTCTGTATATGATTAAGACTTGAATTGTACTCCAAATTATCTGACTTTAACTCCTGGATAAAAATGGACAATAATACACAGAACAAAGAAGTTCAAATTTAGGCTATGCTCCCCCGGCCCTATCCCCAACTACTCTTATGTGTTTAAGTCCAAATAGCTAAAGTTGAATTTACTGACCTCCGGGTTTCCCTCAAACTCTGAATGATTACATATGGATTCATCAACCTTGAAAATAAAAAAATAAATAAAAATGAGTAAATTGAAAATATTTTAAAAATCACATTTTACATGATTTAACCATTTCTAACAAGGTTTCCTTTATTCCATTAAAAGAAAACCTGCTCTGGCTGGTATGGCTCAGTTGGTTGTGTATCGTCTCATATATGATGATTGATTATTCTCTCTCATTATTGATATTTCTATTTCTCTCTCTCCCTTCCTCTCTGAAATCAATAAAAATATTTTTTAAAAAGATGTCTTAAATAGGTTAAAATATTAACCATAAAGAAAACACTTTTTATAAATCTATATTCACATTAAAAATATATTCTATCCTCTATAATAAAAGCCTAATATGCAAATTGAATTTCATTCCAGCACACAAGGTGACTGCCCCTATGTGGTCAAAGATGGCCATCCCCATGTGAACATAAGATGGCTGCCACAAGATGGCCAGCAGGGGAGGGCAGTTGGGATGACCAGGCCTGCAGGGAAGGGCAGTTTAGGGGTGACCAGACCAGCAGGGGAGGGCAGTTGGGGGCAACCAGGCCAGCAGGGGAGGGCAGTTAGGGGCAATTAGGTGGGCAAGGGAGCAGTTAGGTGTTGATCAGACTGGCATGGCAGTGGTTAGGGGGTGATCAGGCTAGCAGGCAGAAGCAATTAGGGGCAATCAGGCAGGCAGGCAGGCAAATGGTTGGGAGCCAGCAGTCCTGGATTGTGAGAGGGATGTCCCATATTGGAGAGGGTGCAGGCTAGGGTGAGGGACACCGCCCTCCCCCCACCATGCTCAAATTTCATGCACCAGGCCTCTAGTTAAGGAAATAAAAAGGTAAGGCATAGAATGAGAGAAGATATTTGTAATTTCTGACAAAAGACTTGCATATATGTATTATATAACATGTATTTACATTTATACATGATACACATATATGTACATACATCCCACAAATTAATAAGGAAAAAACAGACAAGTCAATGAAAAAACTGGCAAAATACTTGAACAGGCATTTCACAAGAAGATATTAAAATTGTCAGTAAACATGAAAAAGTACTCAATTTTATTAATTACCAGGGAAATGCAAATTAAATATACAAGATAAGAATACACACACCAACCAGACAATAAATACCAAGTGGTTGCAGTGGTTGCCACCAACTGGTGGCCTGCAAGGTCCAAAAAGTTTACCACCGCTGTTGATGAGGATATGAAGGATCTAGTGCTCTCAATTTCTGCTCTTAGTAGTGTAAATTAGCAAAATCATTAGAGAAAATGATATTATTTACTAGATAGAATAAGATGAAATCCTACAACCTATATATGCCCAATCAAAATGTATGCATGTGTGCACCAAGAAACAAGTATGAAAATGTTCATAAAAACTCTAGCGATAAAACTCCAAACTAGAAACTACTGAAATGTCCATCAATGGGAGAAGGGATAAATCAAATGTATATTGGCACAATAGAATGAATACAATGAATATGAACCATCTACAACTACAGGCAAGAATATCAGTCAATCTCATAAACATAACACAATGAAAGAAGGCAGATACACACAAAAATAAATTCACTATAATCAATTTTAAAAAGCTTAAAAAGAGTCAACAAAACTAATCTCTGAGATTAGAAGTCAGGATAATAGTTGTTCTTTGGGAGGGTAGTGACCAAAAGGGGTCATGATGTGGCTTCTGGAGTGCTAGTTATGAAATTAGCAAAATCACTTGTGAAAAATCATCTAACTGCATATAATGACTTTTGTAGTTTTTCTCCTACGTCAATTACAAATTTTAAAAAGAGGAAAAGAAATCATTCTCCCTTGTTCATAGTATAATGTATGAAAAATAACTAGGTTACAGGAAATATATAAAATTTTACTCCACACAATTTAAGTCACTTGCTGTCTGACGTAAAAAGAAAAACAGTTCCTGAAATGCTAATATTTCAAAACTGAGTAAAAAATCAACACATGAAAATCTCTACTTCTGGCCAACAGGTACATGAAAAAATGTTCAATATCACTAATCATTGGGAAATACAAAACAAAAGCACAATGAGATACCATCTCATACCTATTAGAAGTGCTATTATAAAAGAAAATCAATAAATAACAAGTGTTGTCAAGGATATAGAGAAAAGGGGGCACTTGTGCACTATTGGTGAGAATGTAAACTAGTATAGCCACTATGGAATACAGTATTACATAGCCATATGGAAGGAGAATCTTTCTTTTTTTGTATAGAGGTTCCTCAAAAAATTAAAAATAGAACTACCATATGATCCGGCAATTTTATTTCTGTGAATATATCCAAAGGAAATGAAATTAGGACCTCAATGAAAAACAAATCAGGATCTTGAAGAGATATTTGCACCCCATGTTCACTGCAGCATTATTCATCATAGCCAAGATGTGGAAACAACCTAAGTATATCAATGGTTGGATAAAGAAGAAATGGCACCTATGGAATATTATTCATATACTAGAGGCCTGTGCATGAAATTCGTGCACAGTGGGGAGATGTGTCCCTCAGACCAGCCTGCACCCTCTCCAATCTGAGACCCCTTGAAGGATGTCTGACTGCCCGTTTAGGCCCGTTACTGGTAGGATCAGGCCTAAACAGGCAGTTGGACATCCCTCTTACAATCCAGGACTGCTGGCTCCCAAATGCCCACCTGCCTGCCTTCCTGATTGCCCCTAACTGCTTCTGTCTGCCAGCCTGATCACTCCCTAACAACTCCTCTGCCAGCCTGGTTGATGCCTAACTGCTCCCCTGCCAGCCTGATTGCCTCTAACTTCTCTCCCCTGCAGGCCTGGTCACCCCTAACTACCCTCCCCTGCAGGCTTAATCACCCCCAACTGCCCTCTCTTGCAGACCTGGTCCATCCCAACTGCCCTCTTCTGCTGGACATTTTGTGGTGGCCTTTTTGTGTGTTTGAGTGACGGTCAATTTGCATATTACTCTTTTATTAGATAGGATAGAGGCCTAGTGCATGGGTGGGGGCCAGCTGGTTTTCCCTGAAGGGCATCCCAGATCAGGGTTAGGATTTCCTTTGGGCATAGGATGGCCTGGGCGAGGAGCCTGTGGTGGTTTGCAGGCTGGCCATGCCCACAGGTGACCCAAGCAAAGGCCCTGGTATCTTGGGTTTATTTATCTTCTATAATTGAAATTTTGTAGCCTTGAGCGGAGGCCAAGACAGGCCAAGGCAGGCGTAAAGCTTGACTTCCTCCATCGCCAGGGAAACCCAAGCTTCCTGCTTGTTCTGTGGCTGCAGCCATTTTGTTGGGATTTATTTATCTTCTGTAATTGAAACGTTGTAGCCTTGAGTGAAGTCCATGGACAGTCAGGGTGTGCAGGAAGCTTGGCTTCCTCCATTGCCAGGGAAACCCAAGCCTCCTGCTTGCTTCACGGTGGCAGCCATCTTAGTTGTGTTAATTTGCATACTCACTCCTGATTGGCTGATGGGCGTGGCTTGTGGGTATAGCAGATGTATGGTTAATTTGCATATTACTCTTTTATTAGATAGTATGAGAAAGAAAAATATCCTGCCATTTGTGATAACTTCGATGAAACTTGAGGGCATTATGCTAAGTGGAATAAGACAGAGAAATACAAATACTATATGCTGTCACTTATATGTGGGATCTAAAAAAGTCAAATTCATAGAAGCAGAGAATAGAATGTTAGTTGCCAGAGGCTAGGGTATATGAAAAATGGGAAGATGTACATCAAAAGTATAAAATTTCAGTTATAAGTTCTGAAGATCTAATGGGTAGCATGGTGATTATCCTATCTAATAAAAGAGTAATATGCAAATTGACCATCACTCCAACACACAAGATGACTGCCCCGATGTGGACACAAGATGGCTGCCACAAGATGGCCAGTAAAGGAGGGCAGTTAGGGGTGATCAGGTCAGCAGGGGAGGGCAGTTAGGGGCAATCGGGCCAGCAGGAGCAGTTAAGCATCAATCAGACTGGCAGGGGAGTGGTTAGGGGGTGATCAGGCTGGCACGCAGAAGTAGTTAGGGGCAACCAGGCTGGCAGGCAGGCGAGTGGTTGGGAGCCAGAGGTTCTGGATTGTGAGAGGGATGTCCCATATTGGAGAGGGTGCAGGCTGGGCGGAGGAACACACACACACCCTGTGCACCAATTTCATGCACTGAGCCTCTAGTAGTTAATAATACTCTATTGTATACTTGAAATTTGCTATGAGAGTAGATTTTAAGTGTTCTCACCACACCAAACAAAGGTAACTGTGAAGTGATGGATGTTAATTAACTTAATTGTGGATATCATTTCACAAAGTGCATGTATATTAAATCATCATGTTGTACACCTTAAAAATAATCACATTATACAACCTATATATATATATATATAATTTTTACATGTTAATTATACCTCAGTAAAGCTGGAAAATAATCTTCCTTTTTAAAAATATTTTTTATTACAGTTGACATACTATGTTATATTAGTTTCAGATGTATAACATAGTGGTTAGACATTTATATAAAAAAATAATTCAATTTTTATGCCCTTGCCAGTGTGGACCAGTTAGTTGGAGCATCATCCTATGCACCAGAAGTTTGTAGGTTCGATTCCCAGTCAGGACACATGCTCAAGGTTGCGGGTTCCATCTGGACCAGGGTACATATGGGAGGCAGCCGATTGATGTTTAGCATGTTTCTCTCTCTCTCTTTCTCCCTCTCCCTCTAAAATTAATAAAAACATATCCTCAGGTGAGGATTAATATATATATATATATATATATATATATATATATATATATATATATATATATATTTAACTTCTATCAGAGATATTTAAACATGGGACAAAGAGCAGAACATATATAGTTATGATTTATGATTTTTGGCATTCAATGTGATTCACTAAAATGGTTCCTATCAGTATTTGTGAAGAGCTGAAAGGTCAGCTGAATGATGAAGGGTCATTCTTTCAATACCTCATATAGATGCAAAGAAAAAGCCACTGAGGGACTACTGTACCCTACTGCTGGTCATTTGGAATTAGAGGCCTGTTGGGGAATCCTAAGTGTCAACAACCATTTGAGGGATAGGTTGCAAGCTGATGTCCTCCTTTCCTTGGACCATCTCCCAGATATATTTTTATAAATATACTAGAGGCCTGGTGCAGGAAATTTGTGCACTCAGGGAGGGGTGTCCTTCAGCCCAGCCTGCACCCTCTCCAATCTGGGATCCCTCGGGGGATGTCCGACTGCCAGTTTAAGATTGGGCCTAAACCAGCAGTTGGGCATCCCTTTCACAATCTGGAACTGCTGGCTCCTAACCACTCACCTGCCTGCTGCCTGATTGCCCCTAACTGTTTCTGCCTGCTAGCCTGATTACCTCCTAACTACTCCCCTGCCAGCGTGATTGACGCTTAACTGCTCCCCTGCTAGCCTAGTTGCCCCCAAATGCCCTCCTCTGCTGGCCTGGTTGCCCCCAACTGCCCTCCCCTGCTGGCCTGGTTGCTCTCAACTGCCCTCCCCTGTAGGCCTGGTCACCCCTAACTGCCATCCCTGCTGGCCTGATCACCCACAACTATCCTCCCCTGCCAGCCATCTTGTGGCAGCCATCTTTGACCACATGGAGGCAGCTATCTTGTGTGAGGGCATGAAGGTCAATTTGCATATAACCTCTTTATTATACAGGATATATATAGATATTAGTATATATATCCTAAAGCCAGCAAATCATTGTGTAAATTAAAGGCTTTGGGCTCTTGTTCAAATGTAAATCTTCTTGTGTTATTTATCAGTTTGTGAGAAAAGAAAAACAAAGGCACAGAGAACCAAGTAGATAGTTTGCAGGGATGGGGGTGGCCAAAGACAAGTCATTCCTTAACTTTGTGATTCTGCCATGAGCTACCTCTATCTGACCACATCCCTCATGTGATGGCACAATTCATGTTCCAGTCTACTTCCCTCTTAACTGGAACACCAGGCAAAATAATTCCTCAAAAAGTCTTGCAAAAAGAAAAAAAAGAAAAAAGGTCTAAACAGCAGAACTCATGATCAGAGAGCACACAAAAGCTGATGATATTCTAGGAGAGGAAGCAGCTGCTGACCATCTGTTAGGAAAGAGTACATTACACTCAAGTGTATAAACAGAGTTATAATTCCAAATAGACTATAGATCTGACTTAGATGAATAAGTTCCATATATGTGTGTTCTCTTCAGAAGTTCATAAAAATAAAGTAATTTAATTCAACAAAAATGTGTTAAGTGATGATTACACAAATGGTGTTATACCAAGTATTTTTTGTTAAAGTTTAATACATGGAGACCAACTTTTGAAGTCATACTTATTAGCTGTATGGCCTGTAATATGTTACTTAACTTTTCTGAGCCTTAGTTTCTCTATAAAATGTAAACTACTTCATGAATTATTATAAACCACTGTATGAGAAGTACACAGAAGAGTATATCTGTAGCATATCATATAAACACTTAATAATTAATGACTGTTAGTATTAAGCTAAAGTATTGATGTGATTCACAGTGTTTAAGAACAAATACCTAGAACTTGGATTTTTGCTGAAATCCTGACTCTATCAGTTTTTCTAGAAATGTGATCTCAGTAGTAACCTCTGAGACTGAGTTTTCTCAAATAAAGAGGGGGACAGGACCTATATCCTTGGGGTTACTCTGAGGACTTAATGAGACAATTCAGATAAAATCCTTATTAAAATACCTAGTGCATATTAATTGCTCAATACATGTTAGCTGCTATTAATAGCAGGAACAGCACAAAGTAAACAACACCTAATTCCTACCTATAGCAGCTTATATTTTTAGTGGAGAGAACAGGCCTACACAGGTGATCAGAGTAACTATCAAGACATAATTCAGTGCTAAATGAATAATACAAGCAGAATACAAGTGAATTCTGGATTTGACAGGAGAGCAGTAAAGGCTGGAGAAAGCAATTATATTTCAGTTTTCTGGTAGGTCACTTAGTTGGAAATGCAAGCCGCACCCTCTCCCCACTTGGAAGCCCTCTGCCTTTTCCCTTTGCAGTACTGTATGGGGACATCAGTTTCTATAACAGATCATGGGTACTTTATTTCAGAAATAGATTCATCTGCAAATGCCCAGAAGAGCTCTGCTCAGCTGTGGACCTGGTCATTCCCTTTGGAGTTATTAACCTGTCAACACTGGCATATTTTAGTAAGTAGAAATGCTCCTCAAGTTATGATGGCGTTACATCCCAATAAACACCTCATATGTTGAAAATATCCAAAGTAAAAAATGCACTTGATACACCTAACGTAATGAACATCATAGCTTAGCCTAGCCTATATTAAACATTCTCAGAACACTTACATGACCTACAGTGGGGCAAAATTATCTAACAAAAGCCTATCCTATATAATAAAAGGGTATTATGCAAATTGACTGAACAGTGGAATGACCAGAATGCCCACGACCCCTCAGGGGTGTGGGGCCAGCCAGCAAACCATCCACAGCCCCTCTCCCCAGCCAGCCCTGCCCATGACCCCTCACCACAGCCACCCACCCCTCAGGGCAGGATGGCTGACCAGTGCACGAATTCATGCACTGGCCTCTAGTTTTATAATAAAGTGTTGAATATCTCATATAATTTATTAAATACTGTACCAAAAGTGAAAAACAATGGATATATGGATAGTTGTCATTAATGTACACAGTTAAAACCACAGTGGGCCTGAAGAATGTTTGAAGCATTGAACTAAAATTAATTACACATGAGAGCGTATTGTACTGCATATCACTAGTCCAGGAAAAGATCAAAATTCAAACTTTGAAGTACAGTTGCTAGCAAATGTGTTATCATTTTTTTGTGCCATCATAAGTCAAACCATGGTAAGTCTGTATTTTGAGACTCCCCTGAGGAGCTAAAACAATTGATCCAAGGAATTTGTCCATGTGTGCTGGGCTCCTTTAAAAGCCAATACAAAAAACTTGGTTTCGAACCTCTAAAACTCAAATGCACAGGGCCAGGGCAGGTGGCACACAACTGAGTCCCTGTGGTCTTGAGGTGCCACCTAATAGAAACTACACTCTTCAGGCACCACAGTTTTAAATCTAGATAAAAAATTCAAATTAAAAAGACAAAACTCCACTTTGTAGCCCAAACAAAAATGTCTCAGTCCCAATTTGTGACTAATGCCCTAAGGTTATACCGCATGATGTTATGCCCAGTGTCCCACAGGGACCTCTAATTAGCATATTTTGTACCAGATTCTGAATAATAAAACTGTATTTAATCCAACCAATACTAACTATTCAAATTTGAATACTTTAGTTGCCACAAACTCTAAGAAAACTGAATGGCCATACCAGAGCCTCCAAGTATCTACCTGATCCAGAGTTCATTCTATTTTTCACACACGCCACACTCATTCCTTCCTCAGGCTTTGTATTTGCTGTCCCCTCCAACCTCAGATATTCACATGGCTAGCTCCTGCTAATCATTCTGGTCTCATCTCAACTGTCACCACTTTGAATTATTATCCTACCTACTATTTCATCACGCTACTATATCACCCCATTTAATTTTCTTCATAGTATCCATTCCCTGAAATTAGCTTATTCAATTACATATTTATCTTATATTAGGTAAGCTTCATGGAAAAAAATAATTTTGCATCAGGTGTCATGTACACAAAAATAGTGTATGGCACACAGTATTAATAGATAATAAAATTTTTGAAATATGTTTTTACTGATTTTTAGAGAATGAGGAAGGAAGAGGGAGGGAAAAACATTGATGTGAAGGAGAAACATTGATCAGCTGCCTCCTGCACACACCCCAACGAGGTTCAAGCCCACAACCTGGGCATGTGCCCTGACCAGGAATGCAATGCACAGGACGATGCTCAACCAACTGAGCCATGGACCAGAGCTAATAAAATTTTTTGAGCAAATGAATTAATATATGGCGTGAATCTTGCAGTCAATGCTATCATAAACCCTCAAACCTTCCACCAACCTATTTCAGAAAAGGAATTATCATCATAATAATTGTGTGACAAATCTAAGAGCTAAATTTCATTGATGTTTCAATGTGTTATACTATAAGAAATTCAAGTGAAAGAAAAATATCCAAATAAAAACAAAATCTAGAAAACACTTACGGTTAAACTAAAACGTGTCTCAGTTTGGCTGTTATTGACTTTTACTTGATAAGATAAACAAGCGCTAGAAAAAGGCTGTGGATTCTTCCCTACTACGTATAAGTCACCATGTTGAAAGAAGAGCCTTTTAATATGTGGAGGATCAGGTTGCACTGAAAGAGAAATAGAAGAATACAAATTAGCTTCCAGAGTTTACTTTGATGAGATACCTATGTGGGAACTGATAACAAAAGTCACAAAGTTAAATCAAAATAGGGCTGATACTTTCAAGGGCCTTCCATGATCAGACATACTAGTACAGCGGTCGGCAAACTCATTAGTCAACAGAGACAAATATCAACAGTACAATGATTGAAATTTCTTTTGAGAGCCAAATTTTTAAAACTTAAACTACTTCTAACACCACTTCTTCAAAATAGACTTACCCAGGCTGTGGTATTTTGTGGAAGAGTCACACTCGCCAAAGAGCCGCATGTGGCTCGCGAGCCACAGTTTGTCAATCATGGGAATAGTACAATTCTAGATTTCTGATTAGCCATGATTAATGAAGGAATGTTATACTAAATTGCCTAGTAATTGATTTAAGGAACATCTTTGGGTGTCTAGCAGATGGCATGAACTCTGATATGCATCTGGTTAGAATATGGCAAGGGTATAATCAGGATACCCAGCTGCATCATAAAGAAAAGAACTGTCTGGTCCAGATGTGCCTCCACCTAATGGGTAACAGGGGCACCAAGTGCAAGGAGTTTCCCCAGCTGTTACCCATTTTGCCAATCAAAGACCACAATTAAACATTAGCTTAGTCTTTCACACATGCTACAACAATGATGAACCTCATGGACATTATGCTAAGTGAAATAAGCCCATCACTGAAGAACAACTACTATATGATTCCATTTAGGAAGTATCCAAAGTAGTCATAATCATAGCAACAGAAAGTAAGAAGGTGGCCACCAATGAAGCATCCATCTTACATAAAAAACTGCAGTTTGAATTTTTAAAATATATTTTATTGATTTTTACAGAGAGAAAGGGAGAGAGAGAGAGAGAGAGAGAGAGAGAGAGAGAGAGAGAGAGAGAGAGAGAGAGAGAGAGAGAGAGTGTCAGAAACATCTATCAGCTGCCACAACCAAGGTACATGCCCTTGATCAGAATCGAACCTGAGACCTTTCAGTCTGCAGGCCAATGCTCTATCCACTGAGCCAAACCGGTTTTGGCTGCTGTTTGAAATTTTAACCCTGCTATTTTGGCTTCTGTAAAGACTTGCTTGTTTAAATGATAAGGAAAACAAGACTACTCCCATTCCAGAGAGGCCGTGGACTATGTCCCAGACAGAGTTGTCAGTGCTGGCACCAGGCCAGGCCTTGAGATATGGTCTCATAGCCCCTTCCCAGCACGTAGGCCTTCTTTCCCAGAAGCCCCAGAAGTCTCATTCCAATTTTGGGAGACAAAAGAATTAGGAAAAGTATAAATAGAAAAGGTTTCCTCCAAGGGGGGGGGCAGAATTTAAAAGGCATATTTTTCTCTGGCCCTGCCCTTAGTAAAATGTAATTTTTTTCTGGTCTTCTGTAACACCAAGAGAGGAGGTGGGGGGGATGAGAGAGAATTTGTTTTGGGGCATTGAGTTTCAGTTTTATAAGATAAAAGTTCTTGAGATTTGATGCACAACAATGTGAATATATTTAACTGCTGAACAGTAGTACACTTAGAAATGGTTAAGATGATAAATTTAATGTTAAGTGATTATAACCACAATGTAAAATAAATAAGAAAATTAGCTTAGTCAATTCAGTTTTTTGGGAGTCAGCTATGCATACCACACAACAGAAGAGAATGAATAATTAACAAAAAATCTGAAGATGTCACCTTCTAGCTGAGACGTATCTCCCTTTATGTCACCACTAATCCCTAGGAAGAAAACTAGCAAAATGAGCTTTAAAAGGTCCATCGAGGACAACCTGCCAAGCAAGGAAGAGGACAAACAAGGGCTTTGCTTTAGATTATCCCACATGGCATGTTACCTCAACTTCACTCCCTGGACCTACAAACTAAGCTCCCTTTGGTTCACTATTAGAATTCACTTCCCTGAGTACCTGAAAGAGCAAATAGTGTCCTGCTCACAAACTTCGCACTTTTGTCAATTTATGATTATTTGCCTACACATTTTCTATATACCACTTAGCCAGTATATGAACTCCTTGTTGGGGTATTGCAAGATATAAACAAACATAATGCTTACAGTAGTCTGCTTTAGAGATTTACAAAACATTTTTATACACTTCACATTCATTTGAACCTTCTACAGTTGACCCTTGAACAACAGAGGGTTAAGAAAATCACTGTCACCCCTAGTCAAAAATCTGCATATAACTTCTGACTCCCTAAAAACTTAACAACTAATAACCTACTATTAACTAGAAGCCTTCCCGATAATAAACAGTTGAGTAATGCATATTTGTATTTTTATATGTATTTTATACTGTATTCTTATAATAAAATAAGCTAGAGAAAATATTATTAAGGAAATCCTAAGAAAAATACATTTACAATACTGGACAGATTGAAAAAAAATACACGTATAAGTGGACCCATACAGTTCAAACCCATGCTGTTCAAGGGTCAGATGTACAATTTTTTGAGATCAAGAGGGACAATGCAACCCATTTTATAGATGAGGAAACACTTTAATAGAATGTACTAGTATATACCACTTTTCCAAAGTGAAGAAGCTAGCACCTCAAGCAGATATTTTATTTTCAAGTGGGAGGCTCTTTCTAATAGGCTGATATTCAGCTGCACTGGTTGCTCCGATCAATGCCGGACCCAGAATGTTAGATAATTTGGATATCACCCCTGATCATTCTACCTCCAGTCTAAGCTTTAAAAAAAACCCACAACACTATAAAATAGATTTTTCAGGAACTATATTCAATCAGAGTTATTCTGTAGCACTACCCTGACAAGTATTATAAGTAAAAGAGAACTGATCTTAAGAGTCAGAGAGCCTGGGTTCCAATCGTGGTTCTATAACTAACTGCTTGCTGTCTGTCCCAGTGTACTCATAAGTGAACAAGGAGAAAACATGTGCATAGGTACTAAATAAAATAATTTCTAAGCTTGCTTCTTTAAAAAAAGATAAAATAGAAATATATAACCATAGTCTTTTTTTCTGGTAAGATCTTAAAAAGATAATCTGTTTCCATTATATGTACTGACTATTCAAAAGACATTAACACTTTTATCCACGCTGTCATAGAGGTCTTTGAAAACTTACCATGAGAAGTTAAAGGCACTATATGAAAGGATGGTCTAATTTTTCCTGCATTATCCTTGACCATCACCTGAACATTGTCTTGGTCGAAACTGGGATCCTTTATTTTAGTAGTCAGAATAAAAGAACAAGTAATGTGTTGACTTTCTCTATAGATGTTTTCACATTGACGAATTTTTCCCAGGCTGCTGTGCCTACAAGGTAAAATAAGACAATCTTCTGCATTATTTTTAACAAGGAACTCAAGAAACAAAGGCAGACATTGTTGGGTTTTGTTTTGTTTTGAATGACTTAAGATGTCCATGAAAAGCAGTATTTGCAATATGGCAAGATAGCTTTTTCTAAAAAGATACTTTACTTGGCTCCATTTCATACTCTAAGAGAGCAAATGTTCCTATAGCTATGGAAACTACAGGAGTATTGGTTATTTTTCTTCTTCTGAATACGAGGTGTTATGAGGGCAGGATGAAAAGTTTTATGCTTCTTGAAAATATCCCATCTTCTGAATTCTATGGTTCTCCTCTGGTCCCACTTTCTGCTCCCTCCTTGTTTTCTTGTCTTGTTCTTCTCCCTTTTGATCTTCTCAGCGGGTTCCCATTAAGTTAATAGCCCTCTGCACATCCCTCTCTATTTCTTAGTCCCACATCTGTTCAGCCCAAGCCTATAATTTCCATCCCTTGATTAGAATTTCTATGCTAGGGATGCCTAGTCCTAACCTTTCACCTTGGATCCAGTCCCAGTCTTCCAAATGCTCCATTCTAGTATTCCACTCTTGCCTCAAATTCAATGACCAAAACATATGTCCCTTTTCCCCTGACAAATTGCCTTTCCTTCTAATGTTCCAAATTTCCACCATCTGAGCTCATTTCCTCTGGGCTCCTCAATTTCAGCCTTTGAAATTCTGTTTTACCCTTCCTTTCCCTATATTCTACCACTAAATTCTGTTATTTCTTTCTTTGCAAAGCTTGAATTCTCTCCTGTGTTATTTCTATTGGCCTCACCCACTTTCATGTTCTACCCACTTCAGGCTTCACGTCTTCTCTAGACTTACCACTGGGACGTTCATTATTAGTTCCCTCCAATCACTGCCAGATCTATGTTCCAGAATACACTGGCTTTCTAAGTGTCTTACTTCACTATGTGGCTTTAACTGCCTTCCATAATGAGTACTGCTGGTATATTACTTCCCATTTCAAAAACCTCTACATATACCTTTCCTCAATGATCATTAGCACCTAGCACAATGCAAGCACAGAGAATGTGCTCACTATACGTTTTCGTCTATGCTATCAAAGGATTCTGTTTTGTAGTAAGTGGCAGAAGAGAGTTGGCTTTATATCATCAGCCACAATGGGAGCTGTGCAAAGATTCTGCAGAAAAGGGAAGCAGTTTAAATAATGGACTAAGAGTGAAGAATCCAAAACCCTTGACCTGTTATCACAGAATCATCTGCAGTCATTTAAAATGTAGATTTCTCAAACCCTCTCTCAGAGGATCCTATTTAGAAGTCTTTGACCAGGGCCTAGGGATCAGCATTTTAACAAAAATTCTCCAGGGGATTCTACTGCAAATCAGGATTTATAAAACTCAGATCTACTCCCATAAATACAATCAACTGATCTTTAACAAAGGAGCAAAGGCAATACCAAGGAGCAAAACTTGTCTTTTCAACTAACGGTGCCAGAACAGCTAGACATCCGCATGCAAAAAAAAAAAAAAAAAAATCTAGTCACAAACCTTATACCCTTCACAAAACTAAACTCACAACAAGTCACAGACTTAAATGTAAAATGTACAACTATAAAACTTCTATGTAATAACATAGAATAAAACCTAAATGAAGTTAGGTATGATAATGACTTTTTTAGACACAACACCAAAGGTATGACCTATAAAAGAAATAATAAGTTAGACTTCATTAAAAGTAAAAACTTCTGCTTTGCAAGACAATATAAAGAAAATAAGAAAACAAGCCACGGAATGCAAGAAAATATTTGCAAAAGACACATCTGTTAAAGGACTAGTATCCAAAAATACACAAAGAACTCTAAAAACTCAACAACAAAAAACAAATAACCCAACTAAAAATGGGCCAAAGACCCTCACAGACACCTCACCAAAGATATACCCGTGTTTCCCTGAAAATAAGACATCCTCCGAAAATAAAACCTACTTACAGGTTTCCTTCTGAGTGAACTATAAGGCATCCTCCCGAAAATAAGGCCTATCTCCAGACTCTTGATATTGCAATAAATAAGCCATTCAAAGACAATTTGCGCATGGAAATTAATGACTACATTGAAAATAGAATGGAGAGCAGAAATCCATTTGGCTCAGTGGATAGAGTGTCGGTCTGCGGACTGGGGGGTCCCGGATTCGTTTCTGGTCATGGGCATGTACCTTGGTTGCGGGCACATCCCCGGTGGGGGGTGTACGGGAGGCAGCTGGTTGATGTTTCTCTCTCATCGATATTTCTAGCTCTCTATCTCTCTCCCTTCCTTTGTAAAAAAATCAATAAAATATATTGAAAAAAGAAAAAAGAAAATAGAATGGAGAGAAATCAGCGTGGAAACTTTGTGAAACCTAAATTGCAAGTTGTGACTTGGGTGAAGAATTCATGGGAGAAAAATCACTGACAGTTGCATTGCAAATGCACTGCGAGCAGGCTACCTTGACAAGAAGTACTCATTTAAAGACAGTGCTATTGCTAAACATGAGAGATTTGATCCACTGATTCTGAAAGAAATGGAGCCACAAGAAATTCACCAGGAAATTCAGGAATTGGATTGTTATGATGATGTTCCAGTAGATGATGACATGATTGTCATTGAATAAATGAGTAAATTCTTGATACTGTAGATTCACAGTTTGTCTGGTTTGTATTAACAACTACCATACTACTGTACCGTATACAGTTAATAAATTTCCTTTATTTTCATTTAACAATAAATGTGTATCGTATTCTTCATAGAAAAATAAGACATCCCCTGAAAATAAGACCTAGCGCATCTTTGGGAGCAAAAATTTAATATAAGACACTGTCTTATTTTCAGGGAAATAGGGTACAGATGAGAAAAGATGCTCTACATCAGGGAAATGCAAATTAAAGCAACAATATAACACTAAACACCTATCAAAATGGCCAAATCCAGAATGCTGATGACACCAAATGCTTGTAAGAATGTGGAGCAACAGGAACTTTCATTCATTGCTTGTGGGAATGCAAAAATGGTCACTTCGGAAGACAATTTAGAAGTTTCTTTAATAAGTGAACATACTTTTAACAAACAATCCAGCAATCACACTCTAGTACTTAAACAAGTTGAAAACTTATGTCCACATAAAATCCTGCATACACCATTCATAGCTAGAGTTGGAAAGCTTCTAATATGTCAAGGAAGCAGGCTTGATCCCTGGTAGAGGCCTGCAGGAGGCAATGATCAATGTTTCTTATTGATGTTTCTATCTCTCTCTCCCTCTCCCTTCATCTCTCTGAAATCAATAAAAACATGAAAAGTTATATCTACACAAATTCTGCATATAACATTCATTTTTAAGAGTTTGAAAGCAACCAAAATGTCCTTCAGTAGGTGAATGGATAAACTGTGGTACACTCAGAAAATGAAACATTATTTAGCCCTAAAAAGAAATGAGCTATCAAGCCATGAAAAGACATGGAAGAACCTTAAGTTCATATTACTAAGTAAAAGAAGCCAGTCTGAAAAGACTAGATACTGTATGATTCTAACTATATGACATTCTGGGAAAAGGCAAAACTATAGAGACTATAAAAAGATCAGTGTTTGTCAGAGGTTGGGGGAAGGGATGAAAAGGCAGAGAATAAAGAATTTTAGGGCAAGGAAAATACTCTGCATAATACTATAATCATGGATGCATGTTATTGTACATGCATCCAAACACATAACATATATAACAGCAAGAGTGACCCCTAAGACAGCCTAGTACCAGGAATGCTCAGGGCCTACTCAAGAAGGCAAATAATCCTTTCCACTAACACACACAGGGTAAAATAAGATTGTTGATAGAGTGTCGAGTTTGATAGTTGAATAGTAGTCAATTTCTCAGAGATAATTAAATTGGTTAATTGAAATAAGCGAATATTCTAGAAAAATTGATTATACTATACAAAAACCTGTTCCTAAAGTGTTAACAAAATTTTTATTGGCAGCTCATCTCATGGTAAAATTGCATAACATGTAATGAATGTAAAGCAGTCATATTTTAGAGCAAATAATTAAAATGTAAAAGCTATCAAGACTACATTATAAAATTTCCAAAAGCCTCCTAATATTTAAATTAAAAAAGGGGGTGATAGATAGTGAAAAAATAACATGTAAGGAAAAATATCCTGCAAGTAAATTACATCTAGAAAATTTGTACTTTAGAAAATTAACTTTCATTTGAAATGCTCACAGCAAGATACCCATGAAAAACCTACAGGGTGTCAAAACAAGCCAGAGGAAAATCATTTGGGCGGGGGGGAAAAAAAGAGAGAGAGAAAGAAAGAAAAAAAAAGGATCCCAAGTCAAATTTATAGAAAATATCCCTTTATTAACTTTTGGTTGAGAATATGTTTGTATATTTTCAGAAAACAACTCCGAGACCATGTGGATTCCTGCAACAGAGAGGAATTGACAGAAGTGCCCCAGCCATCAAGACAGAAGAAAAACAATTCAGAGATGGAAGACGCTAACTACGCCTTGCCATACTAGCACACAGCAGCTGTGCGTAGCTGAAGGATGCCCAGGACCAAACCAAAGATGGTTGGACCTGCATCAACACCATTTGTCCACCAATCAGATCTGAAATACCATGGCTGACATGTACACATAAGGAACTGTTTGACATTGAAATTGGTATTCAAAAGAACTGTAGAGGGCCGCCTGGGAAGGCACATGGGCAATTATTTATTTATTTATTTATTTAGGAAAATTTTAAAATAAAAATTGCCCATGTGCCTTCCCAGGCAGTCCTCTACAAAGAACTGTTGGCCCAGAAAGGAACTCACTACAGACTGATTCATTTGCCTCTCAGCATAACCATTATGGCTTGTCTCAGTTCTGGTTCTTATAAGGGAATTCCTTGTATCACATGATCTAACGCATCTAGGGGGAATAATAAACAACATAAATTGATGAGCAGAAATAGACCTCGAGACAGAGAAGCAGCGATCAGACTGTCAAACCTCAGATTGAAAGTAGGGGAAGGGGGTGGGGCAAAGGGGAGAGATCAACCAAAGGACTTGTGTGCATGCATATAAGCCTAACCAGTGGTCATGGACAACAGTGGGTAGGCATACGTGGGGAGGGGTTTGGGATGGGAATGGGGGGATAAGGACAATTATGTGATACCATAATCAATAAAGAATTTTTTTTTAAAAAGTGACTCCTAAAATAAACTGTGGACTTTGGGTGATGATGTGTCAAAGTAGGTTCACCATTGGTAACAAATGTACCACTCTGGTCAGGGATGTTGATAATAGAGGAGTCTGTGCATGTGTAGGGGTAGAGGTTATGTGGGAAATTTCTGTATCTTCCTCTCAATTTTGTTGTAAACCTAAAACTGCTCCAAGAAAATAAGGTCTTAAAAAAAGAAAAGTTCAGATCTAATATATTTAATCCTTCAAAGGCTGTGCAAAGAAATGCTTCAGTATAAAAAATGCTCTTGACCCTTACGAAATAGTATATAAGGCTTTGCTCCTAATTGTAGGCCCCAGTGGTTCATGAATGAAAACAGTCTTTTAAAAACTCACTGCCTTGGTTAGTTTTTAGAACAGACAGCCCTGGAGTGTTTTCCACAGACAGCCAGAAACAGAAACCAAGATACTAATGACAATTTTGTTACATGACTAAAGAAAACTATGTACAAAGTTATGTTTTTGTTTGTTTCAAATGATGAAAGGAACTCTTCTAATGGGCAATCTTTGAGATTCCTTTTGCAGTTTTGTACCCTGAGTATTTCACATATTCTCATGGACCCCAGATATAAAATTTATTTTTCTGTTGTAATTTAGAAAAAATAAGAAAGAGAAATAATGTTTTTGTTGATTTTATAGAGAGAGGAAGGGAGAAGGACAGATAGAAACATCAATAAAAACATTGATTGGCTGCCTCCTACACTCCCCCTACTGGGAATTGAACTCGAAACCCGGCATGTGCCCCAACTGGGAATTGACTCAGTGACCTCTTGGTTCATGGGTCAATGCTCAACCACTGAGCCACACATGCTGGTTAATATTGTTTTTTAAAAGACAATTTTGGGGGGCTCCCTGTGAAAGATTATATGATAACTAAGACAGAAGGCATTAGCTGCTTCATGTTAAAAATTCACAAACTGGCCCAGCCTGTGTGGCTCAGTTGTTGAGCATCATCCCATGCACCAGGAGGTTACAGTCTGGTCCCTGGTAGGGGGCATGAAGGAAGTGATCGTTTGTTTCTCATTGATGTTTCTGTCTCTCTCATCCTCTCCCTTCCTTTCTCTGAAATCAATAAAAACATATTTTTTAAAATCTTTAAAATTCACACACTGAAATCCTCCACAGACTTGCACTGCAAACATACGAAGGGAATGGACAAATGAAAGACTATTTCCTCAACTCTGGAGATGATTAATGTGGTAAGAAATTCCCTAAAATTCACTGACATGGCTAGTCTGGAGCAATTAAGGTCAGGCTCCTTCAATGCCAGACTCTCTCTCCAGAGTCACAAGTGACAGCCCTGGGGCTTCAAAATGACACTACATTTTTTGATTGGGGATTAGAGAAACAGTCTGAGAGTTTTACATGATTTAAACTGATACCTAAATCAATTTCAAATGCTTGGTAAGGAATAAGCCATATGTTTCTCTTTCTTTTGTGATTCTGATTGGAAGAATCTCTCTAGGGGAGAGCAGAAGAGGAGGAAGTAGGTGCTATTCCTTCAAGATGGGGGAAGAGGCCAGCAATGTGTACTGGCTACATCTCCAAGGGAGTGGGTTGAATAATAAAATACAATATAGCTATCATGTATGGAGTGCTTAATCTATACATGTTAGGGGTTAGACATGGCTCTAAACACTTTTCATACAATAGTGACCCTCACAACAACCTTAAGAAGTAGTACTATTTTTACTATTTCCATTTTACAGTTTACAAAACTGAGGCTCAGAGAGAAGGCACTTGCCCCAAATTACACTTGCTAGTTAGAAAGAGAGCCAAGATTTGAACCCAGGGAGGGTGGCTCCAGAAAAGAATAAGTTATGGAATGGTGAGGGTAGAAGATATAGAATCTGTATCAGCAATGGCCAACAAAATTTTCTGGAGTTATGGAAAGTTTGATATCTGAACTATCTAATACAGGAACCACTAGCCACATGTGAAATTGGCTAGTAAGACTAAACAATGACATTTTAATTTGCTTTAATTTTACTTAAATTAAAATGCAAATAATCGCATGTGGCTAGTGGCTCCTGTGTTGGACAGTGCAGGTCTTTATTATAACAAGAGTCCATGCTAATGACCAACTCCAGGAATGTGTATGACAAGAAGTGCCATCCCTAATCCCTGCCCCATTGGGTGCAAGGAACCATCACTCTCTTGGGATGACTTCTTGAGCCACATCCAATGATGGTAGATTGTGGTTTGCAGGCTGAAAGGCAACCCAAGCTCCGTCTGTTATCAGCTTTGGCAGGACAATGCATAAACCTGGAAGAAGATTGGTTGTTCCAGTCTTTTGTAATTTATTCACCCAGGAGGGCAATCATTTCACAATTTGCTTTAAGAAGTGGTTGTGCTAGTATATTGCCCTAGACACTTCCCTATTCTTCTTGTAAGAAATCCAAGGACTACATCACCATCTACCTCCAGTGTCACCCCAATTCCTATATCTGGGTTACTTTGCTGGATAGTCTTGCTATGGAATAATATAGTTTTAAGGCAGCTCCCATTCCTTTCCCTGACCTCTCTATAGACACAGATTCTTTAAAGATCTTCCCTGTGATTATACCAATACTGATTCCAGGGAAAGCAAGAGAAGTTAATAGCGAAATAAACAAAGGATGTTACCAACTCTTGAGAGCTCTTAAAAGCCTGTAATAACAGCTCTCTCCAGACATCACTGCAACATCAACAGAGCCAGGCTATTCCTTTTAAGACTTAGTTCTATGGCCCTTTCACTAGCAATTCTTTAGGGAATCAAATCTACTCAATCCTCCTCTTTTTAGCCCTGAACCATAATGTTCCTAAGTTGTTTATCCCTCTTAAAGTCTCCCCCCAGTTCCGAATGTTCTCTCGCTTTAGTTCCTACCAAACATTCAAACTTATATATGGAGCATGCACCTACCATGTGTCAGGCACAAGACACAGTCCTTGCTTCTCAAGGGAGACCGCAGTCTGGGGAGGGCTACCACTAAGTAAACAGGAAACTACAACACAATGTGCTGAGTACTATGGCATGGGAAAGTGCAAGGTACCATGGGATACAACTATGATGGGGCACATAAAGCTAGACTTCAGAGGTCAAGAAAGGCTTTGTGGAGAGGAAGTAATGAGCTAAGATAAGAACAAAGAAGAGTTTAAGCTATAGGAGCAAAGAGGCATGTATCTTATCTCAGCTGCCCATTCAGTGCTTTACCTGCAAGGTGTGCTAATTAAAGTCTTATTGAATTAAATTGATTAACCTGGTCCTTTCTTCCTTGTCCTGTTGCTAATAATTCTAACTTTTAAGAGAAAGAAAATTATTAAATATAACTTTAGAAATTTAACAGATTTTGTAGCTATAGTCATAAATATCAAATATAAGTTATTTTATGGGGAGCTAAATTATTTGTAATCCTAGGCATGATATAATTTTCCCTTTTAAAGTTAGACACCAAAGACTCATACATTGCTGGTGGGAATGAAAAATAGTACAGATACTCTAGAAAATAGTTTGGCAGATTGTTATAAATCTAAATATGCAATTACTGTAGGACCTAACAACTGTATACTTGGGCATTTATTCCAGAGAATGACATGTTATATTCACAAATATTCACAGGAGCTTCATTCATAACCAAAAAACTAGAAACAACCAAGATATCCTCCAGTAAATTAATGCTTAAACAAACTGGTACATCCATATCATGCACTACTATTCAGCAATAAAAAGGAATAAATGAACTATTAATACACACAACACACAACAACTTGGATACCATGCCTAGGAGTTTTTTTTTAAAGCCTCTAACAGTTATATGTTGTATGATTCCATTCCAGTAACATTCTTAAAATGACAAAATTATAGAGATGAACAGAGGTTAGAAACTTGAGGGAAAGGCGTAGAGGGGGAGGGGATGCAGAAGGGAGGTGGATATGGCAATAAAAGGGAAACTTAAGGAATCCTTGTAGTAATGGAACCTTTTTATATCAATACATGTGATAAAATTGCAAACACTCACATGAGTGCATTTAATACTGGTAAATACTGAATGAGTCCAGTGGACTTGTACCGATGCCAATTTTCTGGTTTTGATTTCGTACTCTAGTTATACAGGATGTTACCATTGGGAGAAGCTGGGTGAAGGAAATGCAGGATCTCTTTGTGAATTTCTGCAACATCCTGTGGATCTATAATTATTTTTTTAAAGTTTTTTCAAAGTAGCCACCAAAATCAAATGCATTTTTCACTAAAGCAAACTGCCCATCTCCTGGGGTGTGCCGAAAAGAATTAGTTGCTGTTGTTTTTTTTTGTTGTTGTTTTTAATACTAAGTTAGATCCAAAGGCTCCCAACACCATCACAATCAGTCCTTCTCCTATAAGTCTCCTGTCCATACTTACCAGTAGTAGAGAGTATAGTTAGTGTCAGGACTTGTGTTCTTTCCTGGGAGCCAAGTGCACTTCATGTAGCTCAGGTTGTGCCAAACACATTGTAGCTCAGTCACAGCGGACTCAGGATCGCCTAGAATACCCAGCCAAGAGTTTAGGACCTTTCTTTCCTTGTAAGGACTTTTCTTTTCTTTTCTTTTTCAGACTAGCCAACAAACAAAATATATCTTTTCAACAAATGGTGCCAGAACAGCAGACGTCCACATGTAAAAAAATGGGTCATGGGAATGGTGGGGGTGAAGCATGCTTCTTTACCCAAATCTAAAATGCTTACAACTTTCTTACCTCCCGATACTAAGAAAATACCTTTATTATCATTGAGGGGCCCTCTTATATCCCTAACTGGAGAGTGGAAAGGACACATAATATTTTCATAATAAGAAATGACTACAGAATTCCTAAATTAATGTGAAAATATAAACAACCTATCTACATTCTTTACTTTTTGCACAAAATTGCTTAATTTCATATAACTTATTTACCACACTTGAATCCAAAATTAAATTTGTTTACTTCTTATAAATAGTTTCATTTTTAAAAAATAATACTGAGTTTCTCTGAAATTATTCAAAGGAATATGTTATCTATTCTCAAGATAAATTCCAAAAAAGGAGTATTAAAAATATATTTATCTTAGCAGCATCATTAGAATATTTTTATTGTCATGAATTTGTGTGTCATCCTTGTGCAGAAGCCATGTTAATCTTCTCTGTATCATTGCAATTTTAGTACACGTGCTGCCAAAGTGAGCACTATCTATCTTTAAAAACAAATAAGTTTAGCTCAGCCAGCATGGCTCAGTGGTTGAGCACTGACCTGTGAACCAGGAGGTGATGGTTTGATTCCTAGCCAGGACTCAAATCAATGATTCTCTCTTCCACTCTCTCTTCCTCTTTGAAATCAATAAAAAGATATATTTTCTTAAAAAACACACAAGTTTAGCCCTGGCTGGTTAAAGTACCCCAGGTGGGTTGTGTATGGGAGGCAACCAAAGATGTGTCTCTCTCAAATCAATGTCTCTCTCTCTCTCTCTCTCTCTCTCTCTCTCTCTCTCTCTCTCTCTCTCTCTCTCTCTATCTCTATCTCTATCTATCTCTTTCTCTATCTCTCTCTCCCATTGCCTCCCTGCCTTACACTCTCTTTAAAAATCAAATGAAAAATATCCTTGGGTGAGGATTTACAAAAAAAAAGTTTACTGGGTTATAACTTACCTTCTTATCTTTTGATTAATACTGACACATATTGTTTTAAACACTAAACATTCTCCTTGAACTAATTCAGGGAAAGGTATGCATAATATAATTCTTAGTATCTCCCTATTGTGTGTTATGACTTTAATGGCCTTAAAATCTTTATGATCTGAGATTTCTACTGTTAACATTTTTTTTTAGTTGAAGCACCAAGTCTTTATATTAAATACCTCTGTTTAAAATGCAAACCTCTTATCCCTCAGGGATTCTTAAAGTAGTACTATACTAAGCCATCAACCATTTTACTGTCAAAATGCAATTTAAGTTTTTTTTTCAGATTATTTATTAAACTCCTAAAGAAATGAGAATAGGTTAAGTAAGTTGTTTTAAACCATGCTCCCAGCCTCCTAGCAGTACCAAACTTTTTAATTTTATAAATATTACTAGATACCCAGTGCATGAAATTCGTGCACAGGGGTAGGGGATCCCCTCAGCCCAGCCTGCACCCTCTCCAATCCAGGACCCCTTGGGGAATGTCTGACTGTCAGTTTAGGCCCAATCCTGGGGATCAAGCCTAAAATGGCAGTCCGACATTCCTCTCACAATCCTGGACCGCTGGCTCCTAATCACTCAGCTGCCTGCCTGCCTGATCACACTTAACTGTCCCCTCCCTGCCAACCTGGTCGTTCCTAACGGCCCCCCTCTGCCTGTTCCCCCTTACTGGCCCCCCTGCCAGCCTGGTCTCCCCCAACTGTCCCCCCCTGCCCACCTGGTCACCCCTACCAGACCCCCCTGCCAACCTGGTTACCCCCAACTGCCCCACCACCGACCTAGTTGCCCCTCACTTCCCCCCCTGCCAGCCTAATTGTCCCCAACAGCCCCGCTGCCAGCCTGGTCACCCCCAACTGCACTGCCCCCGCTGACCTGGTCACTCATAACTAACCCCCAGCCAGCCTGGTTGCTTCTTACTACCCCCTCTGCTGGCCTGGTTGCCCCCAACTGCCTCCCCACTGGCCTGATTGCCCCAGACAGCCTGCTGTTCAGTTGTTTGGTCATACCTCACTAGCCCCCCTGCTGGCCTGGTCTTAGGCAGCCATCTTATAAGGGTATGAGGGTCAATTTGCATATTACCTCTTTATTATATAGGATTTAATATACTTATTCTTTTGTCAATCCTAACCCAAGGATATTTTTCCATTGCTTTTTAGAGTGCAAGGGAGGGGGGAGACAGAGAGAGAAATATTGATGTGAGAGAAACATCAATTAGCTGCCTCCTACATGCACCTGGACCAGGGCCAGGGCCAGAGCCTACAACTGAGGTATATACCTTTGACTAGAATCAAACCCTGGACCTTTCAGTCCGCAGGCCAATGTTCTATGCATTGAGTCAATAGCTAGGGCTATTTCATATACTTTTCATCAGCGCAAGGCAGGTAAACAGCATGGTCTGGAGGTCTGAAAAGTTGGTGACTGCTGGTCTGGAGAAATGCCATGCAGTGCTAATGTTTGGAGGTAGTAGTTGCACCCTGCACAGACAAGGGGTAATATAACAGCAACAGGTAATATGTACAGAGCATTTACTCTTCGCCAGGCACTATTCTATGTGCCTCACATATACTGAGTTAGGTAATCCTTTCAACAGTCATGGTAAGTAGGTACTATCATCATCTCCATTTTACAGATGAGGAAACTTAATGAAGGAAGGGCCAAGTGATCTGCCTATGGTCACAGAAATAGGCAGAACTAAGTAGTAAACTTGGGCATTTTAGCTCTGGTAGCTCTGCTCTTAAGCAGTATATACTAGTATGCACTCCCTGCCTGCAACATAAAAGCCAAAAGGATATTGGATGGTGGGTGCAAAGGCAGGTGGGGGACAATTTTACTACTTGACAACTTTTTCTAGGGCTAATGTTGAATTGGAGCCTTGCTAGCAGTTTGCCTTTCTAACATCTTTGCCAAAATACATTATGTGTATCAAGTTAATCTCTCTATAATGAACAAGATAGTACATGTTTTGTGTGTTTTTTAAAGCACTGGATCTGGAATTTCAAGACCTACAGCAACTCACTCAGTTCCTTCATAAAACGAAAAGGATAATATGTGCCTTGCTTACTTCACAAGATAAGCTTATGAGGCTTGATGAAATGTGTGTGTGTGTGTGTGTGTGCGTGTGTGGTGTGTGTGTGTGTGTGTGTGTGTGTGTGTGTGTGTGTAGCCCTAGCTGGTTTGGCTCAGTGGATAGAGTGTTGGTCTTCAGACTGAAGGGTCCCAGGTTTGATTCTGGTCAAGGGCACATGCCTGGATTATGGGCTCAATCTCCAGAGTTGGGTGTGCAAGAGGCAGCCAATCAATGATTCTCTCTAATCATTCATGTTTCTATATCTCTCCCTTTCCCTTCCTCTCTGAAATCAATAAAAATATATTTAAAAAAGAAAAGTGTGTGTGTGTGTGATTTTCCAAATCATTAAGTGCTACATAACTCTTTGAGCATTGTTATTCAAGGTGTTGGTGAGCACCTTGAAGGCAGGGATTATCCTCATATTGATCATAGTGTTGCTAGCACCTAGTCCAAGTGCTTGTAACTTATTACATTCAGCAAATGTTTGTAACTGAATGAATTAATGGACACTGAACATAAGCATATGGATAATTTGGATTATTCTCTATATACCAAGAGAAACTGCTTTCAAGTTGTTACCTTCAGGGGGTGAGATGCACTTTTCCACCAAAACGCTAGGATTGTCACTTTCATTGGCGCTACACTGGGACCCCACTTGCAGACAAATCCTCTCATTCAGGGGCACTTCTTTTGAACGACGAGTTTCTGGAGCAATTTCCTAAGGTTAGGAAATAAAAATAGGCATTGCTACAGCAAACACACAGAAATACACTTATGTAATAAAACATTAGCATGGCCAGATGTATAAAAAATGGAAAGTTATTCAATGGTATACATAAGTCATCTCGACTTGGGGTGATTTTCTCCACCCACCAACCCTGGGGGACATTTGGAATTGTCTAAGAACACTTTCAGTTGTCATGACTTGAAGGAACTTGCTACTGGCATTGAGTGGTTAGATGCCAAAGATGCTGCTAAATATCCCACAAAGCACTGCACAGCCTTCCCTTCCCCCTATAACAAGAATTATCCTAGGCCAAATGTCAGTGGTATCACCATTAAGAAACCCTGTTATAGATAAAAGACAATTTTTCCATGTTTTAAATGTATAAACATTAGGACATTTACCTAGAAATCCTACCATACTAAAATGTCACATATCTAAAAGCAATTCTATGGAAAACACAATAATATTATCAAAATTCCATTCCAAGCAGATGCAGTATGCCATCAGGATCAAGGTAAAAAGGATTGCTTAGTCATCCTGGTCACATCTGAGGAAGGGAAGTAAAGAAAGAGAGCCTCAGGGTCAAAGATAAATTTTTCATTAAACATCTTTCTGTACTGTTTGACCATTTTTATTATCTTACATAACCATAGAAATGTTAATGGTTGATATATGCACTGACTATACCACACTCTTATTCTGAAAAGTAGATAAGTTTTGTGAAACCACAGAAAGCTAACTTAAAGATAACATACAGACATAAATCATAAATCTAGTTATTATGATTTTAGTATATGTGCTGCCGAAGCGAGCACTAGTTATTATTATTCAGAATAATAAGATTAAAGGGTTCCTTAGGAAAATATCTCCCAAGGTGACAGAGTTGGAATTATTAAAAATGGAGTTGCTTTTAATCAGAGCTCCAAGGAGTTTCCTGTTTTGCAATAGTTTCTTACTCAAGTTGAAGACAGCATTTCCTTTTATATATGTGCTGATGGCCACGAAGGGGAAAATTGGTCACAGCTGACTCTATTTTCCATCCTAAGGCTCTACACTTCCATTTCACATGGCTGCTTCCAAGTGAACATGAGGGCAAATATGAGATACTCCCAAAACCAGGACATAAAAGATGCCATGTGAGAGGTAGCTAACAAATCAAGAATTCATGAAAAGATGAAAGAAAATCACTTTACAGAGACTGAACAGCTCTTAAGCCCGGACAAGACAACCCTCTGAAAAGGGAGTTAGTTGGTCAGCCCTGGAAGAAAATAAAAATAAATGTCTGTTAGAAAATTCTGGCTGGGAGATAAGAAAGGGTGATTTAGCTCCATGGACATTGAGTACTTCTGTCCTACCAGCAAAGCTATGCCTACCCTCAGTGGGGCCTCCTGCTATTCTTAGATGGGTAAATTTTCACAACTAATTCCTAGCCAAGAAGCCTACTTATCATTTGGAATTCCATACAGTTGCTGCCTACAGGGATGGAACACATCAGTGAGGCCAACAGAAGGCTTTCTATAATATTTCACTTTTATAGTTTTCATGGCAAAGGAAGGAAGTGGCCCTTGAGAGGTGAATGTGTGCTGAGGAAATGAAGTTTCTCAGCCTGTGAAGTGGAAAGCCTGCTCCAGGATCCTGGTAATGGTGGCAGGAAAGGTCCAAATGCAAATTTCACCAAGCTCACAATTTTATTAAGCACAAGTTTTACACACTAAGTCCTCACTTAATGCCATCAGTAGGTTCTATGACTTTTGAAATGACAGTGATGTATAACGAAGCTAGTTTTACCACAAGCTAATTGATATAAAAGAGTTGAGTTCCTATGGCATCCTATCAATATTATAACAAAAAGATGTTGAACAAAACAATATTATCCCAAGACCTCTTGTATAGCCCTGAAGGAGCCACCCTGACCCAAGGATCCTTGATAATTCTTATTTAGAAGCTGCATTTGCCCTTGAAGAAACCAGGGGGAAAATGTGCATTCAAATGCCATAAATTAGAATCATCATGGAAAATCTCAGTTCTCTTATTACATTAGATATTGTTCCAGGGAGAGGGCTGAGGAGTTTTATTACACAAATATTTCTATTATAATGGAATTTTTAATTAAAAAAATACTTTAGTATCTAAATCTGAACCTTATGTTTTGGGCATAGGAATAATAAAAGGACTTAGAAAAGAGATGGGGAGGGGGAGATAGAATCATTTTAAAAAATATCTTTCAAAGTTCAAGGTAAATAATATTAGATTGGCATGAATAAAGTAAGAATACACATTGTCAATGATCGCCAAGTCAAGCACACTTCTTGGTAATGAACTAAAGCCCTTGGAGCAGATCTGGATGAGGTATGTGAGATGGCTCCCATGTGACTTTCAGTTATGGTGACTCATTCCACTGGTAGCTAGCTGCTGTATGATATTATGCTCCACCCTTCAAATAATCTGTCCTCCTTTGAAAGTTTATCAAAAATCAAGGCAAGAGTCCTGAATTGATCCCTCCCATTAGGACCAATGTTCACTTGGCTGTATCAAAACTTTCCCAGTTGCAGATTCCTTTATAAGAACGAACGGGGTATCAGTTTCAGCTCTGCCTCTCTGGATGCCTGGACAAAACAACAATCTTTTAATTTATTCACCTGGTGAGACTTTTCTACCTCTTGGTGGTGAAAGATACTATCTAAAATCTGATGCCAGATCCTTCTTTCACTTGCCAGATTGGGAAACTATTAGATAGCTAAAAGAGTGGTAGGGGACAGCCACTTAAGCTAATTTTTTAAAAGAATCATTATAAACACTTGATTTATCTTAATGGACTGAAAATGACCTCCAGGGTTTATCTCATTTAGCAATTTGAGAACTTTGGACATTCACATCAGCCCCTTAACATGTGCAAACGATTATAATACCACTTCTTCAATATGCTTCAAAGGATGTTTGTACCCTAGTTTTGTCTGATGATGTTAATGCTGGGACTGAAGGACAGAAAAAGAAAAGGAAAATTACTCCCACCATTTATTCCTAGCCTCAAGACTATAACCTTCAAAAGATCCAGACAGGAAGTCCCCCAGCACTAATTGAAGACATAATCCATTTATCACAAATTTGGGATTGATAGCCACCAACGCTGTCAAATGGCTGAAATAAGTTACTTTAAACAGAGGTCACCCTTTATGGTCTTTTCAGGGACAAAATGGGAGGAACAATATCAAATGATAATATAAGGTTACACCATAAAAATGAAAATTGCTGCCGAAACCGGTTTGGCTCAATGGATAGAGCATCGGCTTGGGGACTGAAAGGTCCCGGGTTCGATTCTGGTCAAGGGCATGTACCTTGGTTGCGGGCATATCCCCAGTAGGGGGTGTGCAAGTGGCAGCTGATCGATGACTCTCTCTCATCCATGTTTCTAACTCTATCTCTCTCCCTTCCTCTCTGTACAAAATCAATAAAATATATATTTTTAAAAATGAAAATTGCTTATGGTTCAACCTAACAATTGCAATAATGATAAAAGCTAACAATTACTGAGCACTAATTCTGTAGTCAGGTGCATTAAAAGCATCATATTCTTTTCTTTTGAGGCCACTGGAGCCAGCCAGCCAAGGGGAGGGACCACAGGATGTTGGCTGGCCATGGGAGGTAGGTTGTGGAAGTGCACTGACCACAAAGGGGCAGCTCCTGCATTGAGCATCTGCCCCCTGGTAGTCAATGTGTGGAATGACTGGTTGTTAACAGTCGCTTAGGCTTTTATATATATATAGATTGATTTGAGAGAGATAGGAAAGAAGGGAGAGAAACATTGATCTGCTACTCCACCCACTCATGCATTCACTGGTTGATTCCTGTATGTGACCTGACTGGGGATCAAATCCACAACGTTGGCACATCAGGACTATGCTCTAACCAAGTGAGGTAACCTGCCAAAACCCAGAAATATCATCTCCTTTTAATACACGTGCCCTTCATATGAAGTAGGTACAGTTGACCCTTGAACAACTCAGGGTGGGGTATCAATACCCCCTCTAGCAGTTTAAAATCCGCATATAAATTTTAGCCTACAGTGGGCCCTTTGAATACACAAATTAAACCAACCACAGGTTGAAAACAGTATTTCTGATCCAATGTTGGGAAAAGCTGGGAAACAGTGGTTAGGAATGCAGAAATACTGTATTTGATCCACAGTTGGGTGAACTCACAGATTTGAACCAGGAACATACTAAGGGTTGACTGTATTTATTTTTTAAAATCTACATAGAAGTGAACCTGTACAGTTCAAAATTGTTATTTAAGGGTCAACTGTACAATTAATAGCTCATTCCCCCACCAGCTTTTTATAAACAAGGAACTGGAGGCTCAGAGAGGTTAAGTGACTTGCCCAAGATCACACAGCAAGTTGAAAGGGGAAAAGACAAAATTTCAAATCCAATTCTGATTCCACTGCCTCCTCGTTTCTTTTAAGTTTAAAGTCCTATGAGTATAGAGAGGACTTTATTCACCTGGCCAATTCACACCTGGCCAATCCTTGAATGTGGTTAACAAGCTAACAAATAGGGAACAGTTAGAAAAAAAGTGACCTCTCAGGATTTCAATTAGATACTTAGGGGAGACTTAGGTGTCTTTTCCGGAATTTCTCAAGATTGAACTACCAGAAATTGCTACAAAGACTCTCAATGCCTAAAGCCCCTCCTTAGGAACAAGAGGAAGCCATGTTGTGAAAAGCAGAACTCTAGCTACTCAAGTTTCACAGTTAAGGAATATTACAGGCTCCTGCATTTAGAGGAATTCTTTGAAAATGCAAATAATTTTGACTAACCTCATTTAACACCTAAACCTTAATTAACACCTCAGCAAGAAAAGGTTGAGGGAGGCAAATTAGCACATTTCCCTCAAGAGGCAAAACCTGTTACTTCCTGACTTTCTTAAGCCTTCACATAATTATTTTCCTTATCCCAGCAAAATTAGGGAAGTGAGTAGAGTCACACTTTACACACAAAGAAACTGAGGCTCAGTTTAAGTGATTTACCCCAGGCCACTGACCTCGTTAAGTGGCACATCAGTTAGCACCTAGCCTTGTCCTGCCACCAAACTGCTTGAACTGGTTATTTCACAATTCACAGCTCCAAAATAGTGTCACTAATAACAACTTATTATGTGGCCTCAAAATCCTGGACAAAGTCAACCCTAAACATCCCCTCACACTCCCACTGAAAGAAGGTATCTATACTAATAATAGAGAAATATGCATATTGGTCAGGACACCCTCATGCAACGACCAAACAGTAGGCTGCATGGGGCAAACGACTGAACAGCAGGCTATGTAGGGGGACCAGGCTCGCAGGGAGGGCAGTGAGAGGTAACCAGGCCGGCAGAGGGGGGCAGTGAGGAGCAACCAGGCCAGCATGGGCAGGGGGGCAGCTGGGGACAACCAGGCTGGCGGGGGGGGGGGGGGGCAGTGAGAGGCAACTAGGCTGGCAGAAGGGGGTAGTTGGGAGTGATCAGGCTGGTGGGGGGATAGTGAGGGTTGGCCAGGCCAGTGGGGGGTGGGCAATTAAGGGTGACCAGGCCAGTGGGAGAGGGAGGCACTTGGGGGCAACCAGACTGTTAGCAAGGGGCAGTTGGGGGTGACCAGGCCAGCAGGGGAGGGCAGTTATAGGCAATCAGGCCAGCAGGAAGAGGTAGTTAGGGACAATCAGGCAGGCAGGCAGGTGAGCAGTTAGGATCCAAGAGTCCTGCATTGTGAGAGGGATGTCCAACTGCCAGTTTAGGCCCAATCCCTGTGTGTGGGATCGGGCCTAAACCAGCAGGCGGACAACCCCCAAGGGTCCCGAATTGGAGAGGGTACGGGCTGGCTGAGGAGACTCCACCCCCCCACCCATGCACGAATTTCATGCGCTGGGCCTCTAGTCCTATATAAGGCCAATATGCAAATGGTCTGAATGACAGGCTGCTATGATGTGCACTACCATCAGGGGGCACACGAGCTCCCACAGAGGAAACACTGCTCAGCCAGAAGCTGTGCTTACAGCTGGCGAGCACAGTGGTGGTGGCAGGAGCTTCTCCCACCTCCACAGCAGCACTACGGATGCCACTCCCCAAGGGCTCCCAGACTGCAAGAGGGTGCAGGCTGGGCTTAGGGCCTCCCACACACGAGTGCACGAATTTGGTGCACTGGGCCTCTAGTAAAGACATAAAAGAGCTTTGAACAGATGATATGACGCTTTGAAGAACTTATCAATTAGAAGGGGCTACAAACCAATAAAGCCCAAGAGAAAATTCTGCTGAATAAAATCATCATAAAGAACTAATCCTGTTATCAAAAATTCACCTGAATCAGTCAACTACATCTGACTGGAAAGGCTGAAAGTTCCCCTGTTTTCTTCAGACATCAGAAAACCTTCTGGTCAACCCCACCTGCTAGGAACATCTCATTTGTTTTTGCTTCCCATACAGTCCTTTGCTTTGAATTACATAGTTCTTGCGTAACTATCCATGCATGTGATTAACAAGATGGTGAATGTGAAAATTCCCTGAGAAATTGAAAGTGTTATGTAGATACAAGGGTTTAGGTAGGAACCAATTTTAACATATTTACTTAGTGAGTGCCTAATAAAGATATCTACCATAGTATTTCCTATCAGAGAATCTCAATTGTATTTATCAAATAATTAGCAAATCATTTCATATGTTCCATTTCCTCAACAGTTGTTTCTGTAATGTTATGTTAAAATTTAGACATAGCTCAAAATCAAATTTTCACCTTGAAGTAAGATCAGAATAGGGCTTATTCTTGGCTCCAATTCATAGTGTTCATTTTACCTCATTAATGCCATATGTTCCAGAAAACTTACCTTATCCTGCTTGTTGCCAAAATGACTAAAATACCACAGACTACAATTCGGGCTGGCTCCCTCTGGAGGATTCCATGTCCATATCACTGTGCAGAGGTTTTCAACTGAAACACTCAAATTCGTCACTGGTGGCTGAATTTCTGTTCAAATCAAGCATAAGAAATAAATGTATCAATATCAGCCACTATTTGGGTTGGTTCATTTAATTCATTCCTCCAAGTCCTAGAAGCCTAGAAGTCAAGAATAAGAAAAATGAGCAGAGTCCAGTGGCCGAGTATCAACCTATGAACCAGGAGGTCAATGTTCAATTCCAGGTCAAGGCACATGCCCAGGTTGTGGGCTCAATCACTAGTGTGGGGTGTACAGGAGGCAGCCAATCAATAATGCTCTCTCATCATTGATATTTTTATCTCTCTCTCTCTCTCCCTTCCTCTTTGAAATCAATAGAACTGTATTTTAAAAAACTGAGTAGAAATATCTAACATTTATTGAGACAGGCACTGTTCTAAGTTCTCTCCACATATTCACTCATTGAATCCTCACAACAACCTTATAAGACAGGGACTATCAGCCTGTTCTTAAAGATGAGGCAACTAAGATGCAGAGAAGTTGAATCACTTGTCTTATATCTAAAGGCTAGTGAATGGCAGAGCTGGGTGCAAACCCAGAAATTCATGTTGCTCCAAAGCCACCTTCTTAACTACTTGCTATACAGAGAAAAGTATATTCTTAAATTTCTAAGTTTTCGTCTCTCAGGAATTTGGGTTCCCCACACTTAGGATCCACGTCTTTCTCAATACAGGCACTTCCATCTCAGCAGTTCTGCCAGTGAGCTTAAGCGGCTCATCGGCTTGCTAACATGATCTGTCAATTATTTATAACTCTGACAAACAAGTACTGAGATTGAACAGCCTTTATTGTTCCCCTGAGTTCTGACACTAAACAGTTGGAACTGTACCTTTAGCTAATCTGAAGAGGAAATAAAAGAGGAGAAACTGTGAACCAGTATCTTAAAAATGTTTTTCATTTGGAAAAAGCCTCCACACTAAATATTTACTATTATTTTAGATTAAGCTCTAAGATGAGGGAAAGAAATTTTACTACTTCTGCCAAATACAGGGAAATACATAGGGGCAGGGGTACATAATTTCAAACTTCCTTGAGAACTTCCCCTGAGGCCAGGACTACCAAAATCATCACCCCAGATACTGGGGTACAGGAATGCTTTATCCTACCTTCACAACCTCTACCTTCACAACCTTTCTGTAAATCAAAAATTATTCCAAAGAGGAGAAACCAAGATGGCAGCATAGGTAAACTCCTGAACTTCTGCCTCACACAACAACTTCAAAACTACAACTAAAAGACAAAACAGACATCATCCAGAACCACAGTAAGGCTGGCTGAGTGGAAATTCTACAACTAGAAGGAAGGAGAAAAGCACACTGAGACTCAAAGGAGGGAGACACAAACTCCCACCTGCTCTGAACTCCAGTTCCAGGCAAGATTCTAAGGACACAGGCTCATACCGGGAGAAACTGGACTATCTGGAAGCGGGTGGAACTTTTTTTTTTTTTTTAACATATTATATTGATTTTTTTTTACAGAGAGGAAGGAGATGGATAGAGAGCTAGTAGAAGCATCGATGAGAGAGAAACATCGACCAGCTGCCTCCTGCACACTCCACCAGGGATGTGCCCGCAACCAAGGTACATGCCCTTGACTAGAATTGAACCTGGGACCTTTCAGTCCTCAGACCGACACTCTATCCACTAAGCCAAACCGATTTTGGCTAGTGGGTGGAACTTGAGGGCGGCTTTCTCTCAGAGGTGCTTGCAGCAATTAACGAGGGACACTGTAACCCAGGCTTCTTGGGGCAGAGCTGACAGTCAGCCATTGCTGTTTGCTCCCCGAGACTCCGCCCCATCCAAGCTGTGTACAGAGGCTTTTGCATATGAATGGCCTATTCCTTTGAAATCTAAACTCACCTAACAAACTGTAGCTGAGTTAGTGAGACCCAGAACATCCAAAAGAAGGCCCACGGCCCAGCAGCAGCTTGCATTGCTTCACAGCTGGAGCTCATCTGGGAACCTCCAAAACCCAAAGAAGAGGAATCTGCAGATCTCTCCGTAGCTCCTGCTGGGTGGCCTCAGGCAGAGGCTAAATTAGCACTTCCTTGGAGATGCAAGAGCCACTGTACCAGTGGTCAGAGTGGGATCATCCAGATTACAACTCCTCAGATCCATAAAGGACACACTCAGGGGGCAGACTCAGTGAGCACCAAAGCCCCACTGAGGCAAGTCCTGCCTCCTATGGGTGTCTCCAGCACAGCAGTTCTCCCATCGTAGACACAGCTGATCCTCACAGCCAACTGGCCTGGAGGCCAATTCCTCCCAGTGATACCAACAATAATCGAGGCTTAACTATAACAAGACTGTGCACGCAACCCACACAGGGGTGCACCAAGAGTATCCACCTCAGGTAAGTGGAGAGGCTGAGCCACTGGACCATTTTGGACACCTAGCACACAAAGCCACTCTATCAACAAAGGAAAGAAGCCAAAATGCAGAGACAAAGGAGCAGGTCACAAATGACAGAAATGGAAAAAAGCAAACTACTGGCTATAGAGTTCAAAACCACGGTTATAAGGTTTTTCAAGAATTCTCTAGAAAAGGCTGATAAATTTAGCGAGACCCTCAAGGATATGAAAATGGACCAACTAGAAATTAAGCATACACTGACTGAAATAAAAAATAATATACAGAGATCCAACAGCAGACTAGAGGATCACAAGAATCAAGTCAAAGATTTGAAATACAAAAAAGCAAAAAACACCCAACCTGAAAAGCAAAAAGATAAAATCCCAAAATATGAAGATAGTGTAAGGAGCCTCTGGGACAACTTCAAGTGTACCAACATCCAAATTATGGGGGTGCCAGAAGAAGAGAGAGCAAGTTACTGAAAATCTATTTGAAGAAATAATGACTGAAGACACCCCCACCTGGTGAAAGAAATAGACTTACAAGTCCAGGAAATGCACAGAACCCCAAACAAAAGGAATCCAAAGAGGATCACAGCAAGACACATCATAATTAAAATGCCAAGAGCAAAATACAAAGAGAGAATATTAAAAGCAGCAAGAGAAGAACAGTTACCTACAAAGGAGCACCCATACGATTGTCAGCTGATTTCTCAACAGAAACCAAGCAGGCCAGACAGTAGTGACAAGAAATATTCAAAGTGATGAATAGCAAAAACCTACAACCAAGATTACTCTACCCAGGAAAGTTATCATTCAAAATTTAAGGTTAGTTAAAGAGATTCAGCTGAAACCGGTTTGGCTCAATGGATAGAGCGTCGGCTTGGGGACTGAAGGGTCCCGGGTTCGATTCCGGGCATGGGCATGTACCTTGGTTGCAGGCATATCCCCAGTAGGGGGTGTGCAAGAGGCAGCTGATCGATGACTGCCTCTCATCGATGTTTCTAACTCTCTATCTCTCTCCCTTCCTCTCTGTAAAAAATCAATAAAATATATTTTAAAAAAAAAAATTCACAGATAAGAAAAAGCTAAAGGAGTTCATCACCACCAAACCAGTATTATATAAAATGCTTGAAGATATTCTGTAAGAAGAGGAAGAAGAAAAAGATAAATATAAAAATTATGAACAACAAATATATATCTATCGATATCAATAAGTGAATTTAATAATCAAGTGAATAAAAAATCTGATGAACAGAATAAACTGGTGAACATAATAGAATCAGGGGCATAGAAATGGAATGGACTGGCAATTCTCAGGGGAAAAAGGGTATAGGGGGGTGCAGGAAGAGACTGGACAAAAATCATATACCTATGGATGAGGATGGTGGGAGGGGGTTAAGGGCAGAGGGTGGGGTGGGAACCGGGTGGAGGGGAGCTATGGGGAGAAAAAAGAGGAACAATTGCAATAATCTGAACAATAAAGATTTATTAAGAAAAAAAGTATTCCAAAATAAAGTTTATTAAACTAATTTTTAAAACAACCACCCAAATTATCTATAAAGTGTCAAACAATAATTATTAATTACTTAAGGAGTACAGTTATATTAATTTATCAGTCTATAGTGTTATATTTCATACCCTATGCCCGTGGTCAGCAAACCGCGGCTTGCAAGCCACATGTGGCTCTTTGGCCCCTTGAGTGTGGCTCTTCCACAAAATACCACAGCCTGGGTGAGTCTATTTTGAAGAAGTGGCATTAGAAGAAGTTTAAGTTTAAAAAATTTGGCTCTCAAAAGAAATTTCAATAGTTGTACTGTTGATATTTGGCTCTGTTGACTAATGAGTTTGCTGACCATCATCCAATGCCAACACTTTCGAGTGCATTGGGCATCTTACATAATCTGCAATACGTATAGCATTACTTTGCTCTTTAACTGAACAAAAAAATTCCATTTGTCCCAAAAATATCAAGCGGACAGTCACTGTGTAGTTGGGATTTCCCCAACGGTCAGTTTTGTACATCGCAGCCAAAAAGGCCCTTGACTCTCAATATTCATTCCCTTTCCTGACTCTAGTACATTAGACTTTCAGCAAGGTAGACCAGAGGCCCAAATGTAGGGAGGAGAAGCCCACAGGCTAGGCTTTGTGGAAACAGGGAATTCCTATTGCACTTCATTCTAACCCAGCTAGTGCCAGAGAGCACCAATGGCTCAAGCAACAGGATTTTAAGTAACTACAGAAGTTTACAGCTATTCCGTTTTGGCTCTTCTAACATACATCAATGATGTTTGTTTGTTTGTTTGTTTTTGTGTTTGTTTATTTCCAAAAGGGAGGGGGAGAGAGAATGGAAACATCAATGATGAGAGAGAATCATTGATCAGCTGCTTCCTGCACTTCCCCTCCTGGGGCTCAGTGTCCTTGATAGGAATCAAACCTGGGAACCTTAAGACTGCAGGCCGATGCTCTATCCACTGAGTCAAACCAGATACGGCCAATGATGTTTTGAAGACAAATCATTTGTCTGATATAGAGCCTCTAATAAAAACTTGCTCCTACTGAAGACAATAATCTACTACGTTAGGATTATTTGTCTTATTTTCCAGATTCCAGAACTACACTAAAATAACCTTTCTATCTACCTCCCTTTCCCATACAAAAATTAAAGCCCTGATAATAAAAACATTACTTATTTATGGTTCAATTACATTGGACAGCAATTTTCAAGTAATTTAAGACCTTTTAAAATCTTTCTTTAACCTAAGTGTTTTAACAGAATAATATCCTGCACTATTTCCATCTCACAAACAGATTGAATTCCCCACACACACACCCGGGCGCGCGCGCACACACACACACACACACACACACACACACACATCTATTTTGAAGTGTCCTTAAGTCAGATTTCATTGTTTTTGCATTTTATTTTTTTATTTTTTTTAAAATATATTTTATTGATTTTGTACAGACAGAAAGGGAGAGAGATAGAGAGTTAGAAACACTGATGAGAGAGTCATCGATCAGCTGCCTCTTGCACACCCCCTACTGGGGATATGCCCGCAACCAAGGTACATGCCCTTCACCGGAATCGAACCTGGGACCCTTCAGTCCCCAAGCCAACGCTCTATCCATTGAGCCAAACCGGCCTCAGCTGTTTTTGCATTTTAGGCTACTTGTGAATATCTGCTATGCTTCCCCCCCCCTAATTATTCCTTCCATTTATCCTGAGATTTTTCTATTTCCTATGATTTAAAACACACACACACACATACACACACACACTCACACAAATATATCATATATATATGTGTGTGTGTTTATATATATATATATATATATATGCGTGCGCGCACACACGCACACTGAAACTTTAAATATAATCTCCAAATGTTTGGATATATATTAATTCATGTGTATGTGTGTATAATACATCCAGACATCTACATAAATAAGTGCATATCGTACTTCTTATAAAGGTCTCTAACAACAGCTCACAGGTAATAGGACATAGAATTTCAGTGTAGTGGAGTGACTAAGAACATGGGCTCTGGAGCCAGACTGTCTGAGTTCATATGCCTGCTCTGCTACTTACTAACTGCTAAGTCACTTAACCTCTCTATGCCTCAGTTTTCTCATATATAACATGAGGATGATCATAACCTAACTATTATTATAAAGTTTAAATAACTTCACACAGATAAAATGTCCTAACAGTGCCTGGCACAAAGCAAGTGCTAAATAAATGTTAGGTAGCTGCTTTCTTTCTCTTTGAAGAGACAAAAAAAAAAAAAAAAAAAAAAAAAAAAAAAAAAGTTCTGCCGAAACTGGTTTGGCTCAGTGGATAGAGCGTCGGCCTGAGGACAGAAAGGTCCCAGGTTCGATTCCGGTCAAGGGCATGTACCTTGGTTGCGGGCACATCCCCAGTAAGGGGTGTGCAAAAGGCAGCTGATTGATGTTTCTAACTATCACTCTCTCTTCCTCTCTGTAAAAAATCAATAAAATATATTTTTTAAAAGAAAAGTTCTAAATAATTGTTTTGGTTTTCTCTGGAGGTGATATGTGCCTATGGTCTTTGAGACACAACCTCTCTCTTCTGCCTAATAAGCTTTCCTTGGGCATCTAATGCATCCAGTTCTTAGAGACGGATCACTTCAGAAAGCAAAGCGTGAGGGAGAGGAGACAGGGACTTAAGTAGCTCCCCCAACTAAATTTCAAACCACAAGTGAATCTGTCTGGTAATCTAGCACAATATCCTATTCTAATCAGGAATTAAAGGGATCAATGGTCTTTATAATGTTGCTTAGCTAATAGTTTTGCATGCATATTTTAGGAAAAGTTAAGAAAATCACAATAATCACATATGAGTCATTTATCTCCTTCCCTTACATCTACTCACTCATCAACTACGTCTCCATTTTTTCTTGCACCAACATCTCTCTCTTTGTGATTTCAATCACACTAGTTTGCTCTGCTGGGTCCATGGTCCTGGACATAAGGTGTTCACAACACAACTTTCTACTGGTCACTTAGGACCCTAGATTCCTGCATAACTTCACTCTCCAGCAATCTCCCTCACCCAGTGAAGTCTCCCTGCTTGCTTCTCCTCCAGTGTAATTCTCCCACTTTGCTCCCTACTCAGGGCCTTCAGGGGAAAATGAAACACTTCTGTTTGGACTGACTTTGCCGAAGCACCCTCTTGCCAAGCAGGGCTCCTCCACTGAGCACAAAAGAACACTCTCACCCTCTCACACCAGGGCATCTGCTCTTGCTATGCATCCTGCCCACCCCTCATGGAATTTCTCCACCTATTCAAATTCCACCCATCCTGAAGGTCTAGCTCAAGTTTTACCTCTTCCATGAAACTACCAGCCCTCACAGTTTCCCCTCTTCTGAGTGCCTACAGTACTTATTATTTGGACTAAACAATCTGGCAATTACAAATCGGGTCTCCAAGCTACGAACATTCACTCCGTAACAAGTGGCCTGTACATACTTTCATGGGTCCCAACTAGTCCTGCCCTGCTACTAGTGGGAGGCACCCTGCTCCTCTCCCAGCCAAGGACTCCCTCATCTCTAAACAGAGAGGCACTGATACAGTGGTTAAAGCCTCTGAAATCAGGCTGTGGGTGGGGGTTGGAGGCCTGGCTCCTCCACTCTACCAGCTGTTGTTCAAGCAAGGCTGGTAGCCTCACTGTGCCTCAGCTTCCGCACATACAAAATGAGACTGATACCAGCACCTGCAGTATAAATTTTGTGTAAAGATTAAATGAAATAGGATGGGTAAAAAAACTTAAAACACTACCTGGCATCGAGCAAACACTATATAAATGCTAGTTGGTGTTATTAATTCATACCACAGTGTAGGCTACCATTCTAAACAGAATAAACTGAGCTGGTGACCTAATCATTCTCTAAACCTTCAATATCAGAGCTAAAAAGAGCCTTTAGAACTTACGGAGTTCATAGAAAAACACTGCACAATGAAAGGGAAACGACTAGTCCAGAGTCCAACAGCCGGGAAATGTCAGACCACTAAAAGTCAAGTCCCCTGACTTATTTTCTTCACCACATTGTAATGCAATTCTATCAATATTTCTATTGGGGGGAGTTTTTCTGTATTCTAAATAATCAAGTTGCCAATGAACCCCTATGACAAAACTGATTAAGTGTGCGGAGGGGTGGGGGTGCTAGCATTGTCTAGAAGGCCAGCTGTTGTTTCAGGTGTGTGTGGGAGGGAGTCTGTAGGAGGGAGAGTGGTGAAGTAGCACTGCGAACATCAGGAGACTAATGCGATGGGTGACCTTAAACAAGTCCCTTCCCTTCAATGGACCCCAAGTAATTATGGAAATCAGATCTCCCCCAAATGAACTAGAGGCACTGTGGGCAAGAATGATGCTGTACACCCTCGGGTTCTAAGTGAATGTACAGAGCCTGGCTGAGTACTAAACAAGGCAGGCACTTGAATAATGACTGACTGACAAATTTCAAACTTCTCTCAGGTCTCTACTCAAACACCACCTTTTCAATGAGGTCTTCCCACTCCTCTTTACAATGGCAAACCCCGCTTTTGTTTTTCTACGTAGTACTTAGCACCATCGGACATAACTTATATGCCTCCCCACTCAGACTCTTCCAATAGCAGATAAGCTCCACGGGGTGGGGACTCAATCTGTTTTGCTCATTGTTGACTCAATCGATTGAGGACTTGGAGGTTTCCTAATCAGCATTTCAACTTGGGTTTCAAAGCACAACAAGAAGGTGAAAATACAATAAAGCTAATTGTGGGGTTTGTGTCAATGTGGAAATAAAACCTATCAAATTTGGAGCTGCTGTTATCATCCAAAATATCCAGAAGGCCACTGGTGCCAGGAGCTGTTCCTGAGGAAGTCATTGGCCCCCAACTTTTTACCGTGATTCTGAGGATTAAAAAAAATTGCCACACAGGGTGAGGGGTATCGGCGAACTCTCTATACTTCCCTTGCAACTTTTCGGTAAATCAAAACTTATTCCAAAACATAAAAGGTTATTAAAGAGAATAAAAAAGCGTCCGCCTGGATGCTGCGCAGGGTTTCCCAACGGATTTCATGAACGCCAGAGGAGGACGTGATCCGAACATCCTTTTTCTAAGAGGACTGGGACCTTCAGAGGTTCCCTTCACTCCCACCCCTTCATCGGACCGGCCTCGCCCGGATCTCGGTCTCTATTTCCTCTGGTTCCAAGCCCCTCGACCCGTTCGGGACTCCTGGGCTACATTCCGGGTCCGGAACCGCCGCCTCCTGACGCCGCAAGCGGGTTTCGGCTCCTTGGCTCTTCTCGACGGCGCGAGGGCAGAGCGGCGGCGAGTCTCCGTCCTCCCGCTCCGGCGTCGCCGCCGGGATCAGGAAAGCCCCGCCGCCCCAGGACTCCCCGCCTCGAAGCCGAAGCCGGAGGCAGCCTTCGCCGATCGCTGGGCGTCGAGGAACGGACCCCGACACCCGTTCCCTTCGCGACCCTCGGCCCCGCGGCGCCCTCGCCCGCCTCTCGGCCTCGTCCCCCTCCGCCCTCGGTTGCCGTCCCGCGTCCAGGAGCCACACTCACCCGCGGGCGCCGCGTCCCCGCCGCCGCCAGCGCTCAGGAGCAGCGCCCACAGCGCGCAGAGCCGCGCCGGTAGCTCCATGCAGCCCCTCGCCCAGGAGCCCGGCGGGCGGAGGCAGCCTCGCCAGTCTCCGCCTCCTCAGCTCCGGCTCCCACTTCCCGGCTCCGCCGCCCTGGAGGCTGGGGCCGGCACAGACGGGAAGGGCCGCCCCGCCCACCGGCCGCAGGTAACCCGAACCCGGAGCGCGGTGGGGGCGGGGCGAAGGACTGCGGGCGCTCTGACCCTCCGAGTTTCGTCCCCCCAGGCCAATTGGAATCACCAGGACCGCGTCCTGGCTCACCCTGAGCACCTGCCGGTCCGATCCCCGCGCCACGGCCCGGGTCTCCCCTGAGTGCCTATTTGCAGGGACTGGGCAGTTCCAAGGACTGTGCCCTGCTGGGCACCAGGGCAGGGCCATCTAAGGGAAAGAGGCTTGGCCTGGGAGCTTAGAGACCTGGCTTCTAATCCTTGGCCTCTGAGCCATTGTTTCCTAAACTGTGAGTCCAGGATTAGTAATCTCAGCCCGACCTCACTGGGTGGATTTGGAGGACCTCAGATTGGATTTGGTGGGAGTGACTATGTGAAAATGGCCAAATGTATATTTAAATAATACATAATATTCGGGGTGGGGGGTGAACCACAGCTCTAAACATAAGGCTCAGTGCCATAATGTGTACTTGGATTTTTAAAAAGCCCACAACTAACTTTCTTCGTGTTTCTTTTCTGTGGGTATGGATTGAGGGAATGGAAAGTGAGGCAGAAGGATACATATTAAATAGAGAAAGTGGGTGACCAAGGGCCATTTAAACTGAGAATAGAGGAGATCTGGAACCTTTATTTGTTTCCTATTGCTGCTGTAATGAATCACCACAAATGTGCTGACCTAAAACAACACAGTTTTTTATTTTTATTATATTAGAGTTCTGGAGGTCAGAAGTCTCACTGGGCTAAAAAGGTGTAGGCAGAGCTGCCTTCCTTTGGGAGGTTCTAAGGGAGAACCTATTTCCTGCCTTTTCCAGCTTCTAGACTGCCCACATTCCTTGGCTTGTTGCTATACCACTTAGACCTCTACATTCCTTCTTGCATCATCTCTCACTCTGACCCTCTGCCTCCCTTTTTTCATTTCTAAAACCTTTTTGATTAAATTGGACCTACCAGATAATCCATGAAAATCTCCCCACCTCAAAACCTCTGATTTAATCACATCTGCAGCACCTCTTTTGCCAGGTAAGGTAACAGATTCACAGTTGTCTAGAATTAGGACATGGATATGGTGGGTGGGGAACATTTTCTGTTACCAGCTCCCAAGAAGAATCACGTCTGGATGGATGAGACCCACTAACTGAGGTGTATTTTGGTTGAATTAAGCCAATGTATATACCTGAAATCTGTTGCAAAAATATATAATGAATAAAAATGCTGATGATACACCTAGTCCAGACCCTCCCCAAAAAAGCATGGGAATGTTGAACCCATCCAAAACAAAGTCCTTATTCATGGCCCTCAAACTCAATGAATATTTATTGTCCTTTCAGGAACTGTGGTAGACAGTCATTACAAATAGGCCCTGCCAATAAAAAGCTACATCCAGCCGAAGCCGGTTTGGCTCAGTGGTAGAGCGTCGGTCTGCAGACTGAAGGGTCCTGGGCTTGATTCCGGTCAAGGACATGTACATTGGTTGCGGGCACACCCCCAGTAGGGGTTGTGCAAGAGGCAGCTGGTCGATGTTTCTCTCTCACCGACGTTTCTAGCTCTCTATCTCTCTCCCTTCCTCTCTGTAAAAAATCAATAAAATATTTAAAAAAAAAAGAAAAGAAAAGAAAAAGAAAAGAAAAGCTACATCTAATGCAAAGGGCAAGAACACGGACATGTGGGGCACAAAGAAGAGGCACCGTATGGGAGAGAAGGGAGGCTTCCAGGAGTCAGGCCTGCATGTACTGAATTGTGAGATATGCAGTCTCTGGTTCAAGGTTCATAATAAATACTTGCCTGCATATGTTATTGGACAAAATAATGTTTATGAAAACATTTTGTAAACTACCAAACCCTGTAGAACGGCAAGATTATTTTTCAGTTATTTCTTCTTATGTAATTTCTAAATTAATCCTGCAAATAGGTCAGCCAGTCTGTAACCTAAGACCTCCTCTCCCATCACCACACACATGCACACTTGTTGACATTCGCCATAAACATTACACAATAAGCTTATCATAATGTCTCCAAAATCATTATGACATCTGCCTTTGAGAAGTCTCCAGTGAGAACAGGATCCCCGAGGACTGGCTGAGTGCCATTGAGTACATTGTCTGCATACACTAAGCAAGTGAGTACTTAATGAAAGAACAGCAATGGCAGGAAATGATTAGGAAAAAGAGGGTCAGGACTTGTCGTTAGCCTCCAGAAAACACCCTGAGAATTTGGACAGACATTGTGAGCAAAAAGACAAAGGGTGATAGTGTGGCAACAGTAGTTCTGGCCTGCTGTCTGTGAGTAAGATTTATTGTGAGTTCCACATCCTCTGGATCCTATCAAACAACATTTACAAAAAACTTTAAGGAGGTGGTAAGGGTTAGGAATGCTGTTCTTCAGCATCAAACTTTTATTAGTAATCTTTATGTCCTTTTACTAAATGAGCATCTTGGATGGAATTAAGCCGCTGTCCTGGTCTGCAGGAAGATGAAGATAAATGGAAGGCTTTCCAGGAACTGCAATAAACAAGAGCTTTCATTTTGCCTTGTGTAATCAAAGTCCTGATGAGTCAACATCAAGTTCAGCTGCTTTAACCCTTAATTCATTGAGCCCTGATGACTTGGCGTGAGGCTGCCATTTTGCCTTTATTTGCACTTTAGCCTGAGATGGCTGGAGTTCTGGACCGACCTAGTCACCTCAGCCCCTCTAGCTTTCTCCATTTCTCTGAGTGGAATTAGAATCGGGCACAAACAGGAAAATATCTCAGAGGAAAAAAATAACACCCCTATTTCCAAAGTCAGGCCTTCTTTCAGCCAGTTAGAGATACACTCCTGAGTTCATAGCTAAGAATTCTGGTTCCTTAGGCAAAAATCTCACAAAGGGTCTTCTGCCTTTTATTAAACAAAAACCAAACAGATCCCCACCACCTCTGAAAGCAAAAAGGGAAATAGCAAATAGGGAATTTCCCTCCTCTGACACCAAAGCAATGGTTCCCAATTCGGGGGGGGGGCAATTTTGCCTCCCCAGGGGGCATTGGGCAATATCTGGAGATATTTTTGGTGGTAATGATGTGGGGTTGTGGGTGTGCTACTGGCATCTACTATGTATAGGCCAGAAATGCTGCTAAACATCCTACTAGGCACAGGCCCATCTGCCACAACAAAGACTTTTCTAGCTCAAAATGATAATAGTGCCAAAGTTGAGAAATACTGAGTTTATGTCCTCTTTGTTATCTTCTGTACTTCACCCCTACCCACCCATTCTCCTCATGCCCACTAAAAATCTCTGAGAGATTAATGCTAGAAGTAGTTACCCTTGACACCTCTTTTCCTTGTATCTAGTGTTCCTAGTTTCTCCACCCCATCGTCTAGCCATACAGTCACTTACATTATAAAACATCTCTCAGATCTCTTCTCTACCCTCCTCACCTCCACAGGTCCTTATGGCCTTTCCCTTATACAATCAATAACAGTCTTCAAGCCCACCTTTCCAGATGTAGATCTTTCCAATGTGCAAATCTGATCTTTTCTCTTCCAGCTTATGTTTCTTAAGTGACCACCCCTCCCCGCAAATGCCACAAAAGGAAGTCACAACTCCTTTGCCTACAGTCTTGTTTCTTTGTTTCACATTTCCCACTCTTCCCAGCTTCATCTCCAGCTAGTTTCCCCAAGTCACTTGACACTCTTATTTTCCTAACTAGCTGGCCACTTTTCAGCAATTTTGTTTGGTCCATGTCATGTTTAAGTTTATTTATATTTTGATGCCAAAAATGAAAAGAAAATTAGGAGATTTTGCATAACACTCCCTAATTCCAGCTTCTCTGGAGAAACCAGCAGTTCTGGTAACATTGGACCTACAGTCTAGTGTGCCAACAGCCAGCAGGCCTAACTTTAGCAACAGGGCACATGCTCCCTAGCTGGCCTGGCACCTGTTACCTGCTTGGACCTTGGTTGTCACCTCTGATATTTTCTCACTATAACTCTTTCCTCTTGCTGTTCTCTTTGGCCAGAAAGCGTTTCCATTCCTCAAATGCCATTTTTTTTTTTTTTTTTTTTTTGCCTAACCACAAATGCAAAATTCTTTACTCCCTCCTATGTGTGTGCTAATAGCACTTAACAAATTATCAACCATAACAGATAATACAGAGGTTTGTGTGCATGTCTCTTTCTGCCACTGGACTCAAGCTCCTGGAGGCTAGAGACTCTGTCCAGGTTGACCACAGGATTTTCACATAGAGGGGCTTAGGGATAGTGATCTGATTGGAAGACACAACATCAGGGGGCTTGTCTTGAAGCCATGTGTGTACAGCAAGGTCATTGCCTTTAGATTCTAAACTTATTTGGGACAGCTTGAGGGAAAACACCTCTGGCACCACAGAGAAGATAGAGATGAAAGTAACATGGTCAGTGACATCTTGCCCTCAATGCACAGGTTGAAGGTTCCGGTTCTTCAGCAAGTGGTTTTCTTCTATAGTACGAGTTCAGTGTGGCTCACTCAGGGGAGTACTTTTTGCACAAGAGGCCTGTGACAGGACCCTTTGGGTTTAACCTGAGACAGGGTAGCATGGTGCCTGGGTGTCTGAGCCAATCTGCTGAGGCCCGTCAACCTCTAGATCTCTAAAGTTTACAGCAGTTATTGAACTGACTCTTGGATTCAACAAGACATTCTGCTACTTGAAACTTCCAAAATTGAAAGCCCCATCCACACTCACTTCCTATCCCCCTTCCTGGGTGATTACAGCTCTCCACACTGGAATATAAGCTTCACCCAAGAGGACAGGGAATTTCTTCTGATTTGCTCCCAGCTGTATCCCTAGTACTCAGAACCATCTTTGATACATAGTACATATTCAATAAATATGTTAATGAATGAAGAAATTACACTTTGTCAGGTGCTGTGTGGGCTAACAACCAACCACCAACCAACCAACCAACCAACAAAAAGCAGCATTTCTTGTTGTTGCCCTTGGGAAATTTCCAGTCTAAGTTGTAGAAAGGTATGTAAAGCAATTAGAGAAAATGCAAAGAACAAAAACAAAACAAAACAAAAAAACCAACAAACAGAAATAGTAAAAATGCTCATTTGGGGTACAGGCTTCAGAGAAGGGTGAGACAGACCAGTGTGGTTAGAATTGCTTTTAAAGGTTTCTTGGAGTAGACTGGAGTTGAACTAGACCTTGAAGAAACGGGGTGGGGGAAGGTAGAGGGAGGGGGGAAAGGGAAAAGGGAAGGGAGGAAGAGAGAAGCAGTCAGTTTATAGCTAGCTCTTAATCAATAAGGAGTCGCAGCAGACTTTTACAAGCAAGATGGTGACATAATAAAAGTGGCGTTTAGAGATCTGATTTCTAAGATGAATTACCAAACTTTTTTAATGCTTACCTAGCAGCAAGAAGGCTGGGGAAAGACCCTCTGAGGTGTTGACAGTCAGGGACCGAGTCAGCCTCCAGGCAAACTGCCATTGTGAGGCTGATTCTTCCCTGCATTTAATGACTTGGGGTGCTGCTCCAAGAGAGAGTGTGACCCTGGCCTGGCACCCCTACTCTGTCTCTTGTTCTCTTTGAAAGCATTTAATATCCTTTCCAGTCACTCCTCGACCTCACTCCCTTCAGGCTGAAAATCTTCCTCTTTAATTGGCCCTCTTCTACTTTCTGACACTTGGGTCTCTGAAAGAGGAAATGTCCCGTCTGTGAATCACATCAGCCTCATTTGATTTCTGGTTGTGGTGTTTGTGCTGGTGCTGCCATTACTCACTCCAGCATGTCAGCCAGGATCCTCGGACACTTTTTCACAGCACCTTTTCACTCCACACCAGATGCCCAACTCTATTTAGTCCCCTTCCTCTTCCCCAGCCCAGCAAGTACAGGTCCAATCTTTGCACACTGTCAAGGGTAGCCTTTAACAGCCCCATTGGTGCCTCACCACTCAGCTCCCAACAGCATTAATGTCTCTCCCTCCCTCTCTTCTCAGCCACAGGACTTCTCAAGCATCAGCCCTAACCCAGTGGCTTGGTTGGTTGGAGAGTTGTCCCATACACCAAAAGGTTGCCCGTTTCATTCCTGGTCAGGGCACTTACCTAGGTTGTGGGTTCAGTTCAAGGACAGGATGGATACAGGAGGCAATTGAATGATGTTTCTTTCTCACATCAATGTTTCTCTCTCTCTCTCTCTCTCTCTCTCTCTCTCTCTCTCTCTCTCTCTCTCTCTCCCCCACCCTCCCCCTTTCTTCTCTCTTTCAAATCAATAAATATGTCCTCAGGTGAGGCTAAAAAAAAAAAAAAGAGTCAAACATCATTTGCATATTAGTCACCTTTACCTCCTTGTCCTGTAAAGTTTCCATTGTTTGTCTTGAACATGTAGGATAATCTATATTTACATAATATTTTTATTTGAATATAGAAACCTCCAGTCCTTATTGCCTCTTAGTTGTCCCCTCAATCCACAAAGCCTCTCTGAGAAAGGGGCTCTTTGCACAGCTGTGACTTTGAACCAGGAATCAGCACTCTCATTTGCACATCCCTGGAGGAAACTTTGCCTATCTGCCTGTGGGACAGTTCCCTATGCAAGCAAGGAATCGAGGCCTCGCTTTTCACTTAGAAAGCACTGAGTTTTGGGAAGGGGTAGTAGCAAAATACACACCAATTTAGTCTATGAATTACTCCATCTCTCCCACAACACTTCCACCTGAAATGACCTTTCTGGCTCTGTGCTACTCAGAGCAAGTGGACTACAGCCCCACCTCATTGGTAGCATCTCTAGTGTTGTGCTGTCTGTGCTCTGGGCTGACAACCGATGACCAGCTTCAACACTTCACAACCACAGAAGCTAAGGCTGGTACTTAAACTTCTTTGCAGCCTCAGTTTCCAGGATGGTACCAATCCTTGTGAATTGATGAGCTCTGCTTTATGACACATTGTATATTTTATTTTTGCAAATGTTTCATGAATGTTTGAGGAAAATATATATTCTCTAATTATTGGGTTCAATGCTCTACATGTACCCATTAAATCAAATATGTGAATCATGTTGGTCAAGACAGAATACTTGTTGGATGTTTTGTTTTGTTTTGTCTGTTGGACCTATCACTTGCTGAAAGAGGTGTTAAAGTCTCCCACAATGATATTATGAAAAAGGGTGGGTCAAGTTTTCCTTATAATTCTGTTGACTTTTGCGATAGATAGATATTGATAGATAGATAGATAGATAGATAGATAGATATCTGGTGAGGCTATTTATTTCATCATGCAAATCTAGAATTCTTTTAGCTTCATAGTGAACCAAGTCATTTATTATTATGAAGCAACTTTATTAATCTATTAATACTTTTGACCTTAAAGTTTATTTTAATGAATGTTATTATAAGTTAATAAGCTTTCTTGGTATATTTTCCCACATCTTTACTTTCCTGTCTCTACCATTCTATTTTAGATGTGCTCTTGGAAACAACATATAGTGCCAATTTGTTTTTTCTATTCAATGGGCAGTCATTGTCTTTTAACTTTAGAGTTTAGTTCTAATATATTTATACTTATTTCTACTATCTGATTTTGTGCCATTTGTCCCATTTTTTTTCTGGTTCTTTTTATCCTCTCCCCTCTTAACTTCTTTTAAATGTTGTGGGGGACTTGGGTTTTGTTTTTTCATTTAAAGAGCATTTTTATCTTTTGTAAAATAGGCATCACAATTGTGTCTATCACAGTGTTTGTTGTAAGGATTAAATGAGATGAAGAAACTCATATAAAATGTATATCCAGTGCCTAGCACACAGTAAGTACTAATAAGTGTGAATTATTATTGGAAGTCCTAGTACTTGTTCATCTTTAGGGTTCCCTCATCTCTTGCGGTTCCGCTTCTGATGTTCTCCTTTCTGCTGGTAATGTCACATTTGTTCCCAGTCCTTTTTCTTTCATTTCTCCTTTACTGCCATTCAATTTCCTGTTTCCTCTTACTCGTTTATCTCCAGGCCAGCTACATATACAAGCTTCCATGGTGAAGGCTCTTGGGGAAGAGGTTTGGTGGCACAGCAGGGCAGGAGAGACAGCGGTGCCTTGTCCACTGATTCTCATTCCACAAGACGACAAAGGCACTGCCCAACACTCAGACAACTCTGCTCATCACTCTAGGCTAGCCATGCTAAAATTGGATCAGCTGGAATCAGCACTTTCTCTGAAATAGGTATAAAGACAAAGAATTCACCAACTAGGATACCATTTGCTTCCTTAGCACCTTCACCTATAGATGCTCACTGTCCACTCTCAAAAAGGAATCTTGCTGTGGGAGAATGGGTGTCACCCCACTAGAAATTTGTATATGTACAAACCAGAACCTGGAAAGAGGAACAAGTTGTGCTCAAACACATTGTGGTCAGAGGAAAATTTTGTCATAATTGTTGTGACATAGCTACAACTAAATTTAGCAAGCTGTGTATTTTTGTTTGTGTGTGTGTGTGTGTGTGTGTGTGTGTGTGTGTATGTGTGTGTGTGTGTGTGTGTGTGTGTGTGTTATGCTTAGAAAAAGTAACACATTATGGTTCCAAAAAGCAAAAACCCTTCAGATCAAATAAGAAGCCCCCTTCTAATTGAGCATTTGATTGCCATGGCGATTCCTTACTCCAGTTACTTCATATATTTGGTTTTACTGTGACCTCTGTAGCATGAACATTCTTTCAAGATAGACTGTGTCACTGGAGGAACAGGGTCACTTGGTGGAGTTTTGGGTGTTTTTCTGTTCTCTGGTGGTTTCCACACTTGGATCATGCTAAGTGAAGTAAGTCAGTCAGAGAAAGACAAATACTTATATGTAGAATCCAAAGAGCAAAATAAACAACCTACAAAATTGAAAGAGACTCAGAGACAGAGAAACTGAACTGGTGTCTTGCCAGATGGGAGAGGAGTTGGTGGGCTGGGTGAAAAGATGAAGGGATTAAAAAATACAGTTACAAAATAGTCATGGGAGAATGTAAAGTGCAGCATAGAGAAGATAGTCAATAATATTGCAATAACTATGTTTGGTGCCCATTGTGTACTGGAAATATCAGGGGAACACTGTAAAGTATATGATTATCTAACCATTATGCTGTACACTGAAACTAATACAAAATAATATTCAATTTAAACTTAAATTAAAAAATAATGATTCCATGAGAAAAAAGAGGCCTTGTCCCTCTGGATGTATCTCTGTATGTCCTAAGTCACTATACATGTATCACTATATGTCCTTTGAATAACATTCAAATCAGTATGATCTGTCTTACATTAGATTGAAGAAACTTAACCTTGGAATCCATTCTACTTTGGGGTAATTGATTTTAAAAAAATTTCCAGATTGTAAAACAAAAATATTCCGGAGAATGTGGATTCTTTTTTGTCTCTTTATTTTTTCTCTATAAACCTACCAAAGTCCACAGTTTATGTTGTACATTCTATGAGGCACATCATATAATTTCACTGCCATAAAAATCACCTGTGTTCCACCTATTCCTCCCTCCTCCATAACCTCTGGCAAACACCGATCTTTTTACTGTTTCATCTTACCCAGGATGTCATATACTTGAAATCATACAGTATGTAGCCTTTTACTATGGGCTTCTTTCAATGATTTAATTTCCCTCCAGTCTTTCCATGGAACACCAAAATTGCTACAATTGGCAAATCTGTCTATCTATAGTGCTAATTGAACATTAATATAAAAAGACAATCAGTTTTGACAGTTATTGGCAAACTTGCAGAATTTAAGGACCCAAACCAGAAACTGTATATTATTTATTTTCTTGCTAATACAATATGTAAAGAAAAGTCTTTTTTAAATACATTAATTTAATTTAAAATATTAATTCATTATCTTTTTGTACTGTAATATCAGTTTTATTTTCATTAAAATTATACTGGCATCATTATTTAAATGAAGTTTAATAAAATAATATTTTTACTATAAAAAATAAATAATAAATACAATTTTAAAAAAGAAATTAAAGAGGTATTGAACTTACATATTTTGAATGGGCCTCACTTGAATATGAGAGTCTAATTTTTTTGTTTATTGAATTTATTTGGGTGGTATTGGTCAACAAAATTATATAGGATTTTATAATATCATTATTTTAAATATGTTTTTATTGGTTTCAGAGAGGAAGGGAGAGGGAGAGAGAGAGAGAAACATCAATGATGAGAGAGAAACATTGATCGGCTGCCCTCTGCATGCCCTGCACTGGGGATCAAGCCAGTAACCTGGGCATGTGCCTGAACCCTGACTTCCTGGCTCATAGGTCAACTACTGAGCCACACTGGCTGGGCTATATAGGTTTTGAGTATACTACTCTACAACACATCATCTGTACACTGTATTGTGTATTTACCACCTTGAGTCTCCTTCCGTGACCATTTATTCCCCTTTATCCTCTTCTACCTCTTCCCGCACCCCACATCCCTCTGTGAATCACCATAGTGGTGTCTGTGTCCATGAATCTCTCTCTCTCTCTCTCTCTCTCTCTCTCTCTCTCTCTCTCTCTCTCTCTCTCGACCTTTGGCAATGAAGCATATACTTTTATTCTTCTTTTAAAACATATTTTATTGATTTTTTACAGAGAGGAAGGAGAAGGATAGAGAGTTAGAAACATCAATGAAGGAGAAGCATTGATCAGCTGCCTCCTGCACACCTCCTACTGGGAATATGCCCACAACCAAGGTACATGCCCTTGATCAGAATCGAACCCGGGACCCTTCAGTCCACAGGCCAACATTCTATCCACTGAGCCAAACTGGCCAGGGCTATACTTTTATCCTTCACAGTAAATTTTATTATTAAAATATATTTTATTGATTTTTTTACAGAAAGGAAGAGAGAAGGATAGAGAGTTAGAAACATCAATGAGAGAAAATCATCAATCAGCTGCCTCTTGCACACCCCCTACTGGGGATGTGCCCACAACCAAGGTACATGCCCTTGACCAGAATCAAACCTGGGACCTTTCAGTTCTCAGGCCAACACTCTATCCATTGAGCCAAACCGGTTACGGCTAAATTTTAAATAGATGGTGTTGTATTTTTAAATATCTTTATTACAAAAGAACAATTTCAACTTACAATAGAGATGAAATGCAATACATTTATGACTATATACAATAACAAAATGCCTTACCATGCTTGAAAATTTCTAAACCAACAAGCTACATAATGTATTGGATCTGTCTTCATCAAAGAGAATGCTGCTACCAGCATGGAAACAGGAACAATTTAATTTCCTGCAATGCACAGAAACTATATGGAGTAGAAGGTGAGATAAACATATGCTGCAGACAGAGGTGCAGAGTGAAACACATCTAAGAGGAAAGAGAGTTTTAGGAAAGAGTGGGAAAAGAAATGGAGAGGGAGGAAGGGAGGGATGGAGGGAGGGAAGGAGGAAGGAAGGGAGGGAGGGAGGGAGGGAGGGAGGGAGGGAGAGAGAGAGAGAGAGAGAGAGAGAGAGAGAGAGAGGAAATGGGAAAAGAGGGTCTTGTTGCAAATTTAGTAGTCAGATAAATATTTGATTTGAAACAACTCTGAGGGGGTTTTACCTCCCCTAATGTCCTCTAAACTTTTTAAAATCATTGAGGACCCCAGTCCTACTTTCTTTTCATCACAACTATTCATTCCAAGGACCTGCCTTACTTAGCCTTCATTATAAACTCTGTCTCAGGGTTTACATCCTGGGGAACAAAATCTGTGACAATTGTCTAACACAGTGCCTTCCACATTCATGCTTAAAGTATTAAAGCAGTTAGTTTCCTCAGTTACAGGTAGACTTGACTTTAAACAAACTAAATTTAACAACTTCTAGAACTTGTGAGAATTGTACATTTTATAAACATGTTCTTTAAATATCTTAAGGTATTTAGGAGACAATGGGATTTATTTAAAATAAGGTATAATCATTAGGGAAGAACAGATCAAAACCACAATGAGTTACCATTTCATAGTCATTAAGATGGCTATTATTAAAAAACAACAACACAGAAAATAAGTGTTAGCGAGGATGTGGAGAAATTGGAACGTTTGCGCATTGTAACATGTGCAGCCACTGTGGAAAACAGTTTGGCAGTTCTTCAAAAACTTAAACATAAAATTATCATATTCAATTATCAGCAATCCTACTTCTAGATATATATCCAAAAGAACTGAATGCAGTGACTTGAACAGATATTTACAATCCCATGTTCATAGCAACATTATTCACAGTAGCTAAAACATGAAAGCAATCTAAGTGTCCATAAATGGATAAGCAAAATATAGAATATACATACAAGGGAATATTATTCAGTCTTAAAAAGGAAGAAAATTCTAACACATGCTACAACACTGATGAACATTGATGACATTATGCTAAGTGCAATAAGTGAGTAACAAAAAGATAAATACTGTATTTTTCCTTTTATATGAAGTCTCTAAAATAGTCAGATTCATAGATACAGAAAGTACAATGGTGGTCACCAGAGGCTGGAGGGAATCAGAAGAAAAGAGTTATTGCTTAATGCATAGGAGTTTCAGTTTGAAAAAATTCTGGAGATGGATGGTGGTGATGGTTGCACAACAATATGAATGTACTTAATGCCACTGAATTGTACACCTAATGGTTAAAATGGAAATTTTTTGTTATTTTATGTATATTTTTGCCACAATAAAAAGTAAAATATTTTCAAAAGTATAAATAAATATGACTGAAACCTTGCAGTACATTAGTAAATTGGTTGCATAGAATAGCTAATGAATTCTTTCTTTTTATTGCCAAATAATAGCTCATTGTATGGATATACTGCCTTGAAAACATTATGGTAAATGAGAGAAGCCAGTCACAAAAGACAACATATTGGCTGATTCCATTTATATGTGATGTCCAGAAAAGGTAAGTCTTTAGAGACAGAAACTAGTTTAATAGTTGCCTACAGATGGGTGGAGAAGTGGGATGAAAAGAGGAATGACCGCTAATGATGCTAAGATACTCAGGAGGGATGGGTGATGAAACTGAAAATCATTGAATTCATTTTAAATGAGTGAATTATATGTCAATAAATCTGTTATTAACAAATACATTAATGAAAACCAAAATAATAGAAAAGACTCTCTTAAGGAATACCTTTCTTGATTGATCTAGAAAATTAAACTTTTATGCCTCAGTGTGGAAAGGTTCATGGGTGTTTTTGTATTTCCTTCCAATCATTCAGTAAGTACTTAGTGAAAACTTTCTGTGAGTAAATTACACTATTGAAGGTACAAAGCAATCTACAAAAAATATTGTCTTAAAATATGTGCCTGCCTTTCAGAAGCTTGCGCTCTGATTAAGACAA